TTTTTCCTCTTCCCTTTCAAAGAGTGTGTTTTGGGGGTCCCCTTGCAAGGTTTATGAAGCTATGGAAACTTGATCCTTGTGGTCTCCCAGCCAGGCCTTTTGAAACAGCCGCATTCCACATGGCCCATGGGCCCTGCCTGCGTGGCCCCGGCTTACGTGGCTCGTGAGGGGCCCCCTTCCAGGCCGCTCAGAGCTCCTCTCGGTCCCAGGCTGCCCATCGCATGTTCCCATCACTCCCTATTTCTCGCAGACAGTGCAGACCCACCTAGAGTAGGTTACATTTAATGGGGTGAGAAAAACCCACATGGTCAGAGAAAAGTCGCAGGTGAAGTCAAGCTGCTTCCTCCCGGGAGGCAGAGTGATTTTCTCCTCTCTGGCTCCCACACCAAAAATTCATACAAAAGAGCTCTTTTTATGTTTGATGTATTGCCTTTAAAAACCAAGGCCTTCATGTTTTTTCATTTTTGGTTCATACCTCTTGGCCGACCCAGCAGGAATTTGGCAGTTGGCTGTGCTGCTTTTCGCAAATGCTGAAAGCTGTGTCACTGAGGGTGCTGGGAAGACGGGATGGGTGGGCTGAGCAGGTTGGGGAGCCGTGAGGCGCCCCACTCCAGTTTGGGTGTATTCAGGGACTCAATTGCTTATCGACACTGATCGCCGGCACACTTGGGGCCCTTTACAATTCCTGCTACTGTCTATACATTATAAAGTTTTCATAAGCAAGAGAGTTTTTTAGGGTTACCCAAGGCATAGTGAGGTGGGTGTAGATTTTGTTTTGGACAGGCGCATACATACTTTGCTATATTTTCCCTCATGTGAAATCTTTTCTATTATGATTCATGTTCCAGAAGATTCTCGATAAGGCATCTTTAACCCACTGTAGATACAAGCAAGCTCAAAGTAAGGCACACCTTAATGTGCTATTTCATTTCATTCTGTTGACCAAGTACATTGCCCAACACCCGAATTCTGTGCTATAAAAAGAACCAGAAGCCACCCCAGAGTCAAATCAACTGATAGGCAACGAAGAGGAAAGGCATACTGTAAGAAAATCCTGCCAACTTCATAATCTTCTTAAATGGAGAGAACACCCAAATCCTGCCATCTCCTGCTTTCCAGCATACAGTGCTGCTGCAGGCCGACTTAGGCGACGCCCTGCAGACGGCCCCAGCGCGTCCTGCCCGCCTTCCAGGGCACACAGCCCTCTTGCTGAGTCTTGACTGACCAGAGTGGAGCCTTCTCTCTGCCTTCTGGATCTTTCTCTGTGGATGAGCAGGAACTTAAGACTCTGAGGAAGGCAGTTAAGCACAGGATGTGTCTTCATGGTTATTTTTATGTCTTTACTCTGAGTAGAGGAGGCAGAGTAATATCATAGAGCCCTACTTCATAATCCTTTACCATACATTGAACTCTCTTCACCCATGAAATTAGCCCAAAACGAAACAGATAACATGGTTTGTTTTTTTAAATGCCACTATTTGAGACAGGCTAGGATATAAAGAAACAGGCGCTCTTCTTAAGTCTTGGTGGGACTATACATTGGAACAGCCTTTTGAAAAACAACTTGATGGTAGCATTAAGAAACCACAAGAAGTTTATATGCTTTGACCCAATAATTCTACTTCTAGTCCTTTGCCCTTAAGAAATAATCAGGTGTATGGGAAAATCCATACTCATGAAGATGTACTATTAAACACATTGTATACAGTGATTCAGTGGAATATTATCCATCAACAGAAAGACTAACAATGTAGAGAAATGCTCAGATAAATTAAAAAGCAGGTTAAAATAAATTAATAGTTTGTAGATTAAAATCTTAAAATGCACCTGGCCAAGAGTAACCTTATACACCAAAAGGTTGCAGGTTCGATTCCCGCTCAGGGCATATATCTAGGTTGAGGGTTCTATTCCCAGTCAGGGCACATATGGGAGGCAACTGATCAATGTTTCTCTCTCCATCAGTGTCTCTCTCTCCCCCTTACTCTATCTCTCTAAAAATCAATAATAAAACATTCTCGGGTGAGGATTAAAATAAAATTCTTAAAACTTGCATCTGAAAAAGACCTAGAAAATATGGAAAAATGGTAATAGTTGTGTTAGGGTGAATGATTATATCTTTCATTTTTATTTTCCAAACTAACTACAGTACAGTTACTTTTGTAAATTATCCTACATACTTCTGACCACGACAAAGGGAACCTTACTTGACTTTTACTAATTTAGAACTCATGACTGTGGACAGAGTAAACGGAAATTTCCTTTGTTTATGGACACACACACAAATTATAAGTAGGGAGCATGTTTAAATTACTTGGATAGTTAAAGCCTGAAGTCATACTTTAGCACAATTTTCATTAATTGGATTAATTGAAAGAAGTAGACTGCATTAAGTAATTGTTCACATTAGACTAGAGTTGTCTGACACTATAATTCTGTTCTCTCTGTGACATGCGGTGGGTGAGGGGGTGTGTAGCGTTTAAGAGGGAAGAAAAAATTGCCTCAAATTGTGAGGCTGTAGATGGTCATTTTGTTGCCTTTTTCTAATAGGATAATGAAGGTACTCAATTGCTAACTGGAGGGACTCTCATACCTATTAGAACTTTCGTAATCAAAGAATGTGTACCTGATCTTAAAAAAAAGCCTTACAAAATGTAACTGCTGGCAGTTACAGAGCTCTGGCAGACGACTGCACCCCAGTTAGTGGGAAATGGGGTGGTGGCAGTGGGGCTCCCCTGCATGCCGGTGTATTATAATAATGAATTATTCATCTTTACCAAAGAAGTTATTTATCCTCAATAAAAATTCCTTTGAGTTTTTATAACTTCAGGATCCTTTTAATAACACACTCATTTTCTATAATAATCTCCAACTGGAACACCGCGCATGAGCCTCTCCCGCAGACCCCGCCCATAAGTCCTCCTCTCTCCCTCCTTCCAGACCTGGGCTGTGCAGGGACTTTCATGTTCCTCCCTGCGTTTTAATGCTTATCGTAAAAAGCGTTATGAGAAGTTCCAGGCAGTTTCATTTTGTGCAGGCACACCCCGCAAGCTCGATTTCATTAGAATGGTAAGCTCCATTTACTATTCTTGGCTTTATGAGGGTCATTCCCTGGGATAGCGGTTAGCAGTAGGTCCAGAGGGGTGTCAGTCCCCACGTTCGGCTATAGCGTCCACTGGGGTCCCTCTGGTGACACAGGGTGGCTGTGCTGCGCCGTTTGGCTCCGTGTACACCATGCCCAGCCCAGCTGCACCGTGAACCCAGCACATGCAGGTGGTGGTGACCTTTGCCCTCTCTCCCTCTCGCCAGGCGTGTGCGTCCCTCATTTCTCGGGTTCTGCGGGCGCTTCTCCAAACACGGAGCTTGTGTGCAGAAGGGGCGGGTGCACAGCTCAGCTGCAGGAAGACAACTGCCATCTCCAGGAGACGTCGCGCTCTATCTTTCCTGGGGAGTCACTGGACAGGCTTGAGGGAGTGGACCGAATCTAGCAAAATGGAAATGGAAGAAACATCAGACTAGAGCCAACCAGAGGGATGACAAACAAGAGAGACTTCTCCCTGACCACCCTCCCTGGCCACCTTCTGGTGGGTGGGCCAGGGCTCAGACAGCTTCCAGCCTGGTGTCAATACAGGCCAACTAGGCACTTATTTATTGGCCAGGAGACAACCACCACATTCACTTAGCACTTGGTAGCTTTGTCAGGGTTTTCACAGGTCTTTTCTTAAAAATAAAAATAAAAAATTAATATATTGCTTTATTGATTTCAGAAAGAGGAAGGGAGAGGGAGAGAGAGATAGAAACATCAGTGATGAGAGAGAATCATTGATCGGCTGCCTCCTGCACGCACCCCACTGGGGATTGAGCCCACAACCCCGGCATGTGCCCTTGACTGGAATCGAACCTGGGACCCTTCAGTCTGCAGGCTGACATTCCTTCCACTGAGCCAAACTGGCTAGGGCTCACAGGTCTTTTCTATCTTCCACACCATCATGTGAAGTTGGATGGGAAATGAGGTGATTCCTCTTTTTCCAGAATCTTCTGTGGCAGAGGACCTCCGACAAGAGTGCAGTGGTCTGGAATGTGGGAGCCGCCCCCTCTCCTGGGAGAGGCTCTGCTGTGGAGTCTCTGTCCCTCCGGCACATCAGAGGGAAGAGCTGACGTTAACTCGGTGCCCACGGCGTGCCAGTGCTCTGCTCAGGGCATCCACGCACAGTGACACATTCACTGCTCATGATGCCCGGGGGGTAAGAGGTGGGGCCTCGTTTCATCTACAAGAAGCTTGGGGCTCAGCATAGGCTGAGGACCCTTGGGGCCCCCAGCGAAGTGCCTGGCTGGGTTTCTGTGAGCCCCTCACTCTGGGGGCAGTGCCTGCTGATGGTGACGGTGCTGGCTGGAGGGCCACACTCCCCAGAGACTGGCACTGACTCGCCAGCTCCCGGTAGGATTAAGGAAGTGCTCCTCCCACCGGGGCCCTGGGGGACGCTGAGTCACATGGACTTAGAGTGGAAGTGACAGTGTCCCAGGCAGACCAACACGGACACACGCAGGCACACACACACCGCCAACCGAAAAACCTGCGCAGTCCCTGCTCCCGGGGTTTGTTCAGTACTTCCTGGCCCCGACACGTTCCCGCTCTGGGCCAAATGCAATGCTGTGTGTAGCTGAACTTATTGACAAAGGGAGCGTCCTTCCACCGTGTTCAGGTCTTTAAATGCAGTGTCGGGCCTGCTGTGCCTCAGCCCTCACGTGGAGGGAGCTGCCCCCTGAACTCTGACCCGTCGTTGCCCGGAGCCTGCAGTGGCCCCTGGGCTTTGTGTTGCTAGTCACCCTTCTGTCCGAGTCTTTTCTCCTTGTTTGTTCACGTTCAGCGAGGATGTAACTTTCCTTAGAACTTGTTTGCATTCTCCCCTGTAGCTGACATGGCATTTCAGTGAATAGGAATCCAGTATATAAATGTTTGTTATTAAAAACTACCCCTCCCCCGCCCCCATGACTTGCTCTATCATTGTTTGAGATGGTTCAGGATGCCTTTAAAAATTTTTTAAAAAGAAAATGAAACAAAGAAAACCCAAGGAAAAGATTTATGTATTTGGTTGGGGGAGGGAGAAATTAAACTTCTCATAATAGTTTTTAAATTAAATTTTGTACTCGTCTAAATCCCTTCCTTCTCCACCCCTTCCTCTGACATTCCCTCCCTCATTAAAACAGGATTTCGATGGTATTCACAGGGAAGCTGATTTACTGGAATAAAGAGGTTCTTTAAGTTTTAAATTTTGGAACATTCCCAGTGTGTCTGAACCCGGGTTTCAGATTTTACTGGCATTTTGTTGGCAGAGCAGCCTTTGGAGCCTGTCCTTATTTGAGCGTGTTTCCTGACACCTTTGGCGGTATGGTACTATGTTTTTTAGATTTAAAACAAAATTTAAACAGAAAAGCATATATAAACATATACAGAAGATTGATTATAAAATGTCAAGCAAAATAAAAGGCAATAAAAACTCTCAAAAATTAACAAATGGAAGAACTTTCTTTTTAAAGGGGCAGGAAAAGGCAGGATGAAGACAAAGATCCCAGGAGAGAAATGTTTCCGGAAACCCCAGGAAAAGCTCCCTTTTCATCTGTGCTAAAGGTCATCTCCACACACAAGTGTCCTGTTGAAATAGGGCACGTGGTCGGTGACTGCAGTCACCAGGGCCACAAGAGCATCCACCTGAGATGAAGGGAAAGCTTACGGAGGTGAAGGCAGGGTGGCAGGACCCTACGTGGGTTGGAAGCGTCTCCAAGACCAGCCACAGAGGGGATCTCCCCCTTTCCATCCTGGGTCTGAAGGGGCCAGAGAGGAAATAGTACTTCCCAGAGCCCTGGAGAATGAGAGGGTAGAGACGGGCCCAGCGTTGGGAGATCCACTGAGTCCTAAAGCCAGCGTCTCCCTTAATGGAGACATCGTGAGCATTTCCACAAAGACCAGGCGCAAGGCCAGGATGCCCACTCCACCTCTATTGCACATCCTCCCAGAGATACTGGTCCTTGCAAGTAGATTAGAGAAGTCAATTAGAGGCACACACATTGAAATAGAAGTAAAAGCGCTTCCATCTGCAGCGATACGGTAGTGTGCCCGGGGAAAATGAAGTGAAACAAAAGAACTCGGTAAGGGAGCAGGATGCATGTCCTGCCAGCACCGAGCCCCACCACAGGCCACCCCCAAGGGGCAGCAGGGCAGGCAGAAAATGGAGTTGGGAAGGGGTGATTGGAAAATGACCATTTGAACTAAAATCTGTGATAGAATTGGATTCTGAACCAGGTTTAGTCATGGGGGCCATAAACCCAGCATATCGTGGAGCCAAGCCCTGCGTGAAAGAAAGGCCCCTTGTCCCACTGAGTGAAGAGTTAAGCTGGTGCTAAGCTTTCTGGTCCAACAGGCTCTGGCAGGCTGCTGATCTCCGGCAGGGCGGGGCCGACGAAGGCTCCGAGCAGCTCTGAGGTGTGCGCCATGCGGGGCAGCAGGAAGGGTGACATCCAGGGCAGCGAGCTGGTGAAAGAAGCCATGGTTTTGAGGCCAGTTGGCAGGCAGGACATTCTTCCTCATAATTACCCATGAGTGGCGCGGCACTGGGTGGAAAACGGGCCCAGTGAGGGCCTGAGTGGTGGGGTGGGGCTCCCCTTTCTAGAGGAAGAAATTCATTACCTTCACGTTGCTTTGTCTGCCTCGGCGTTTCAGCAGCCTCTTAGCTCTGCAGGGAAGGAAACTGCTTACAGTAGCACTTTATGCAAATTGGGTGAGGAAAGTTGGGTGTGTTTGAAGCAAAAGCATGTAGAGAGCAGGGAAAACTTGGGCAAAAAGACCCGGCTAATGAACTTGGGTGCAAGTGTGCTAATTTTAAAAACTTAAGATGACTCTATTTCAGTTCTTAAAAATGCAAAAACCCCATATTGATTTTATTCTTTGGGCCTATATTTTCATAACTTTCCAGAAAACGTATAATCCGCAGAACCATCAAACTTACACAACTGGAAAAAATGCATTTTAAGAGATTGGTGGCATGTCTGCCTTCACATTTTGCTTTGTTAAAGGAAGAGATTCTTTGATAGTGACTCAGGGAGTGGGCCTCAGAGCCAGGCAGTGCTGGTTACTTGCTGGGACCTCACCAGGCTCTGTGGCCCCACTTTCTCATCAGTAAAATGAGACCACATGGCAGTGGCCTTCACAAGAGTCATCAGTGTGTTTCAGTGAGAAAATCGCTCATAACCGAGGGGCCCAGCACACGGCTGGATGCTCAGTAAATGGAACCATTTGGGTTATATGAGTCCAAAACCTTGTGGTGCTTTCTGAGTACCTGGAGATCCATCCTTTGCCTGTACTTGAAAATCCATGGCTTATCAATCAATTAATTAGTTCACAAGGCCTTGGAGAAATGTTAAAGTGGGTGTTGGCTAGTGTACTTGTCATATAGTCAAGAGTGGGGGGTGTGTGTGTGTCAGAGAGAGGGAGGGAGAGGGATGCTAGAAAAACATTTTATAAAATTCAACATTTTGATAAATACATTTAAAAAATGGGAATTAATGGGAATTTTCTTAATAACATTGTGTATGTGTCCTAAAGATAACATCCTATTTTGTGGGAAAACCCTAAGAAATAAGGGATCTATTAAGATCAGAAGAAAGGCAAGGATGCCCACTATCTCCCCTTCACATTGCTCTGAAGGGATTAGCCAATCCAAGGAGACAAGAGGAGTCAGCTACAGGCATGATTGAAAAGGGAGAGAAACTTGATCCATTTGCAGATGATCTGATGGTATACCTGGGAAACATTAGCGAATCAGTGATCCTCTCATTGATTAGTAAGGGAGCATGATATAAAATTAGCATATTAATCAATAGTCTCCATTTACACATATAATAACCAGCAAAGGCTATTAGGGTATGCATTTACAATAGCACAAGTAAGATAAAATACCTAAGAATGAATTTAACAAAAAATGTGCAAAATTTTACAGGAAATAACTTTAAAACGTGTCTAAAAGACACAAAAGTTAACTTGAACAAATATAAGATGGCCCTTGTTCATAGATGGGACAACGCTACATCACAAGGATGTCAGTTCTTCCCAGGTAACTCACAAATTTAATACATTTGTAACAAAATATCATTAAGTAGGTTTTTGTGGTTTTTTTTTTTTACCATTAACCTAGACAAGTAGATGCTAAAGTTCATTTGGAAAAATAAATATGTAAGAAGAGCCAGGAAGACAATGAAAAGTAAAAGCCATGAGGTGGTACTAGCCTTGCTAGATTTTAAAGCCTAAACACTAAAGCCTCTGTCATTACAACAGTGTGATACTGGCACATGAATTAATGAGACCAGCAGAAAGGAATAGAAAGTCCAGAAACAGACCTGAGCGCATATAGAAATTTAGTGCATAATAAAGATAGCATTCAAATTCCTATGCCAGGGGCAGACTTTTTAGTAAATGGTCCTGGGACAATTTGATAGACATTTGGGAAAACCAGACCCCTACCTTTCCCCATACATAAGAGTAAACACCAAATGGGCCAGGATCAAATTTAAAAAGTGAAGCCCTTTAAGGCCTGGAAACTAGTGGATGGATTCCCGTATCACATGGGCCTAGGAAAGGCTATGAGGACACAGAAACAAGAGGCAGTTAAAAAAGAGACTGATACACTTGACTACAGAAACGTAAAAAATAAATTTTGTATGGTACAAAACACCATAAATAATCAAAAGATAAACAATGAACTGGAAGGAAATACTGGTAAGATAACACAGATTAGAGCCCTAATAGTACCTAAATATAAGGAGCTGTTAAAAATAGGTGAAAGACATGAATAGGTTATTCACACTATACACACACACACATAAATACATACCTTAAACATTTGAAAACCTCACATACATGAGAAAGGCAAAGTACAACTACACTGAAATGCCATTTCTCACCTATCAGATTGGCAAAAGCTAAAAAGTATGCCATCACCCTGCGTAGCCAAGGCTCTGGAAAACGTATGCTATCCACGCTGGTTCATTAGTAATGGAGGGGTCTGGCACTAGCTCACAAAGCTAAGTATGCATTTTCCTTCTGACTCAGCATTCCACTTTTAGAATTCACCCTGAAGAGACACCATCAACAATACCGAAATCCATGTGAACAAGAGATTCATTGTCCTGGCATTTTGGACACCACCTAATGCTGATACAGATACATCAGGACGAGTTGAATAGCTATGCTACATGCACACAATGGGTTACCACTCAGCTGTAGAAAAGAATGAGGAAGACTCCATTAACTTAGAGTAAGTTACAGTTTCCAGGTTATAGTAACGGGGGTGGGGGGTGGGTGGGAGGGGGACAACACAAAAAGCAAAGAAGTATTTCCAACTGGTAACTTTCTCTAAGGAAGAAAGGCAGATAAGAAAACACACATGTGTCTGTTCATTTGTGCAGAAAGAAACATGGGAGGAATAACCGGCAACTAGTAGTGAGATTAGCTGAGCTGTTATTACGGAGAGTAGAGGAAGGAGATCTAGGTGGGAGGGGTGGGGGGGACCTGCCACTCCTCGGGGTGTGCTTTTCTGTACAGTTCTGACCCTGGACCGAGTTAAAAATAGAAGAGAAACAAGATGGGAGCGGGGACCCTCTAATGGAAGACAGAAGTACACTTAAGCCTAACCTTAACTCACATGAATAGCATAACCACACTGAAGTGAAAGGAAAAGGAACTTCTAAACATAATATTTACCATAGCCCCTCAGGCTAGAGACAAAAAGAACTGTGCATAAATAGTGAACCCTAGTTAGTAAGTTTGTTTTTCACAGTAGCATGGGTCAGCAGTTCTGAAACCACTCTCTGTGTATTACAGTGTTGAGCAAATAAGTAAATACATTTGAGATAATGTGAGCCAGATTCCTCAGCATTGGAGAAGGAAGTACCGATATAGAAGGGAGATAGAGTGAACCTCATGCCGGATTGTAATTGGAGTTTTCACTGAACTCACGGAGTTTAAGGTGGATGGATGGGTCTATGGAAGGGCGGGAGGGAGGTGAAAAACACACTCACTTTTTAGCTATTTCCCGGCACTCAGATTTGTTTTATAAATATCACTCTCCACGAAATGGAGCCAAACCTCCTTGCATAAATGGCTGATTCCAGGGCTGGGGCTGAGAAAGTGCAAACGGAGCCTGGAACCTCTTATGCCAGGAAGTAAGGAAATGGGGAAGGTGGCAGGGCCCTCTCAGGAGGAAGCAGCCAGCTTGAAGCAGCGTCCACTGGCCGAATCTAGGGCGGTTGAGCTTCCAATTGAATAATGATCATAAAGATACACCCTTTTGAGTGAGAATTCCCAGGTCCATTCTGACATAAATAAGTAGAAGGATAAATAAGCAGGGAGAAGGAAAAGCGCTCACAGTAGTGTCCTGCAAGCAAATACGAAATAGGTGATGGCATCAGAAAACTACTGTTTGTCAGTCATCAAATAAATAATCGAGTCAAGCAAAACTCATCCACAGAAACAAAACTAGTAGATTAAGTTCTGTGAGGAACATATTTATCTTTCCAGAAGTACTTCTTAATTACAAGGGAAAAACAGGAACTTCACAGTGCAAAAACCTGGCACACAGCACCTTAACCAGGTGGGGCAAAGCCGCTCACTAATATGAGGTGTTCATTATAGGGAAACTGAGGGGGGATGGATGGGGTGTATGGGAAGAGAACTCTGTACATTCTGCTGGTTTTCTATAAACTTAAACCTCAAAAAAACAAAGCTTAGTCATTTTTTTAAATGCTGTATTGTGACACATGAACATATATGAAATGGGAATTTCTGTGTCTACGTAATTTCCCTGAGCACCGCCACCCTTGCTCATTTACTGCAGCCGCTTTGGGGCTGGGGCCTCAGGGTTGGATGTTTGCAGCAGAGGCCATATGGCTCACAAAGACGAAAATAGGATGCCGGCCGCTGTGTGCAAGTCTCCCAGCCCAGAGGCACCTGCCCAGGGACTGCACCGGGACTCAGCCTGCCACCTCTGCACAGGCCACGTGCTCCGCCAGGCATCCGTGCAAGGGACAGGCGTGGCAGCACGTATGTCATGTGAGCTACGGGAGGGTGCGTGCAGGGAGCCCGTAACAGCTCGGCAGCTGCTGGCCTTGGCATTGTGAGTCTGATCTCTGGGAAAGGAGATGACTCACCAACTAGTGAGCTGACGGATACGTGCATAACCTACTTGAAGGAAGGTTGGGTTTACGTAACTCTTTTATAGCACATTCCCTGGTTATAAAATGAATGTACTCTCAGTGTAGGAATATTGGGAAAGTCAGAAAAGTATGAAGAAGAAAATGAAAGCCACTTGAAATTCTACCACCCAGAGATGACATAGAACAACACAAAAGATGTTGAACTCGTAACAGAATTGTGCCTCCACGTCCTGGAGATGACGGCGCTAGCATGTGCCCTGGATTCTTCCATCAGCGCACCTGGGACACAGAGCCCGCGTAAATGGGACCATACTGCCGCTGCTAAGCCTTTCCTCTTAGTTATTAACGTAGCAAGAATGCCCATAGCTGTGTCAACAACATCATTGTACTACCCCAAGTAAGGAATTTTTCCAGTTGTCAGAAATGTATTTTGTAAAACATACTGATGCGTTTTTGTTTTTTTTTTTAATGGGGAACATGTCTAAAAGAATATATACTTTTAGTAAGAAGAGGAGATGGTGTCAGTGGGTAGCTCCGGAAGGTAAAGACAGGATGATATGATGATTTGAATGTCTTCGTTATGTTCCGTGTAATCTCTGGGTGGTAAATTTTCAAGAAGGACTTCTATGGATGGCTTATTTTCTGCTTTGTACTTATCCATAGTTTTCAAATAATTATACTCCTTAAAATGACCGCAGCTGATATTTTGTGTTATATTTCCTAATATCTTAAGAAGTTTATCTTAAACGTCATGGAAGTCACGCTGTGTATAGCATCTCCACTGGTGAAGGGACTCTCGCATGTGGGGCCGCTGCGATTCTTTTTGGCTCCTCTGTCATGGACTGTTGGCACCATTTCTGATTTTCCATAATGTAATGCTGTGATGAGTAGCTGTGTCCCAAATTCTTCTTTCTCCCTCTGAATGCTGCTGAGGCTTCGATCTTAGAAGCACAGTCACCGCGTCTGAAGGCATAACATTTTTAAGGTTCTCATTGCATAAGAAAAGACTGGCTTGAAGCATTTCTGCTCATTAGTTACTGTCAGATAAGCTCTTACTCATTGGTTATAATAAAAGGGGACTACAGATAACTGACTGACTTAGTTATTTTTAAAGCAGCTCTTTAGTCCTGTCTTAGAAGTGTTTTTGAAGTTAATTAGATATTATGTCTGAACATAAAAATCATGCTTTCCCCCCAAAACTTTTCAAATAATTTTAAAGGTAGCTAATCAGGTTAAAGAAAATTTTAAAAATAAAGAAAAAGTTTTACCAAATCTCACTCCTTCCCTTTCTATGAGTCTTACATAGTTGGAATAAAAGTATATGTAGTTTTGTGTCCTGCTTCTGTAATGTAACATTCTATTGCGTGCGTCTATTGTTGTCACAGCCTCATAATTATGATTTTTAATGCCTACAAATTATTCCACTGACTTCATATATGACAGTAACATAACCATTCCCTGGCTGGATGCTTAGGCTTTTACACATTTTTACTTGTAGCACTGTGGTGAGTGTGGACTGTTTCCTTGGTTCAAAACCCCAAAGTGGATTGACTGGGTCTGAATTTAAATTTTTACTCCTTCAGAATTTTCACTAATTCGTACTGGCCTGTCTTCTAGGTTAGTCTTAGTTTTGAAGTTTCATTCCAACGACCTCATGAAATTCATATGTTCCCATTGGCAGAGCACCCAGTAGGTGCTGTGATGTCCTTAGGAACCTAAGTGGCCAGGACACTGCCCTGTTTGCAGGGGGACTTTTATGGGCCGGGATGTGTCAGACATCGGAACGCTTTCCTTGCAGGCCCGCTTGGTCCTCCAGTGAATGCACTCGGCTGCCACTCACACAGCCTTCTACTCCACAGCCTTTGCCAACAGGAGAGAAGCTATCCGGAGGCAAGGCGGTCATCATTGTGGAGCCCCCCGTTTTCCTTTCTGTTTCCTTTGGTGAGAACATCAAGTCGGGATGGAAATGCATTGCGGTACCTCCTGGCCGCTAAAGCAGACTCCGGCGACTTCTTATGGAGAGATGCACACGTTACCAGGTTCATAAATGCTCCTTTGTTGCCTGTGGCCGTGCGGTTTGGCCCCCAGAGTTATCTCAGATGCACAAATAAATCCGGCGGCCTCCAGTTGTCTCCGGTTCAGTGTTGCCCCCTTCCCCGCTTGTCTCCCTCCTCGCCGTTTCCTCTTGGCCTTCAGCGCACAGACCCGTCTTCTCATCAATATGCCCTGTTAACTGCTGCCAAGCCTCCAGCAGCTCAGTGCATATGTTCCCTTAATCATTTCTCTTTGTTCTAGAAGTCTGTGTTTGGTTTCTGAATACCCGCCTGCCCCCAGTTCCGCCAGCACCGTCGTTGGCCATAGCGCATGGCTGTTTAGGTCTGTTTAAAGAACATCCTAGATTGCCTGGCATGGAGGGCGCCCGCAGTCTGTGCACAAGGTGCTAAATCACCCCTCTCCTCCCCGAGAGCCCCGGCCCTGCCTTGCCCAGGGGAGGGCCGGCAGGGCCCTCTGGGGCGCAGAGGGGCCTGGAAGACAGTCTCCCTTCCTGCAGGGACAAAGCTCCCTTCTCAGGCCTTTCCGCTGCCCAACACAAGAAAAGGACGCTTTCTTGTCTAGGCACCGTGGCTCTCAATGGGCTATTCATGGCGTCCAAGAGAAATACCTCTGGAGCTGTATTTCACGGGAGATGGAAGGGGCCTGGGCTGTGGGCGGTGGGCGGCCTGCTTGCGGGGATGCCCTGTGCCTGGGGCCCGGCCCGCCCCTACCCGACGCCCCCACCCCACTGGCCGGGCTCTTTCAGCAAGTACAGGGCTCTCTGGGCTCCTCCCCCCTGGGGCCTGCACACACGGGGCACAGCTCTGCGAGCCAGGGGCGCACGGAGGCACAGGGTTCTTTGCTCTGCTCTGAAGTGTTCTCCTCCTCCTCTTCTTTGTAACGTTCCACTCGCTCCTGGAGCCCACAGGAGGAGGAAGAGCTGCTCCAAGCGCGGGCTTTCTTCAGCCCTTTCTCCTCGGCCAGGGGCGCTGTGGAACCCTGGAAACCTTACGAGAAACGTTGTTTATACAAAATACCATCTCTCCCTCCTCTGTGCCCTGGCCTCTTCCCTCCTCCAAAAAGTAGTTCAAAGAGGCCCAGCAGCGGCCCTGATAAGTGGGCAAACCTGATCTTTGTTTATGAAATCCCACCATGAACTGTACCCGCGCAGAACCTGGTCAGCCGCTCCCGGGGGTGAGAGAACGCCGTCCTAGCACGGGGCCAGCACATGGAGGACATAGTTGGGAGGAAATTCGCAGAATGAGGCTTTTCCCCCCTTGCCTTTTCAGAAAAAAAGTGACTTGCCCCGTTTGCTGGAGATACAGTGCACTTTCCTACCTATCCCCTGAAGGGAAGTTTGTGTTCTTTTAAGTGAAACCAGTTTAAAAGCAGAACTCAAGCCGAAAGTGATCCAAGTTCTGCCTTGTTCTCAGAAGGTGTAGATTTATTTACTATAGTTAAAGCATAATTAGTTCTCAGGGGAGAGTGTATCTTTTAAACGGCTTTATTGCCACCATATTGGTTTTCTGAATAATCAGAAACTTCTGTTATGATTATGTTCTAGGGTTCGAACAGAAACGCACTGTAAGTAGAAACAAATGTCAGGAATTGTTAGTTGTCACTCGAAGAGGGGACAGCACATCAGAAAGAACTCAATGGGATATTCCAAAGAACTATAGTCTAACAGCGTCTTACACTGGGGTGCAGCTCAGGCGGTATGCATGCCTGCCTCCTCAGTCTTCCGGAGGCGGGGAATGGGGTGCAGCCCAGGAAAGCCGGAGGGTGGCCTTCCTTACCCACACGTTCACAGGTGAGTGTAAACAGTGTTCCCCTCTTGTCCGCGCCGGAGGATCTCCTGCCCGTGTCCCTGTTCTGGCTGACCAGTCTTTCCCACCATTTGCAGGTTGATGTTTGAGATGCCGCAGGAAATGGGTTTAATAGCCATCGCAGTCCGCCAAACACAGGGCAAAGGTCAGTCATCTTTTGTTATCGTTTGTGTTGGGTCTGTTTTCTAAAACTGGTGACGCTCGTGGCCAGGAGAGCCCACTGATTGAGTGTGCTGGTCCTCAAGGTGACTCCACTTAGAAGTCATTTGTTTTCACCCCTCCCGCCCCCGCCCCTCTGCAGTGGAATGGAGGAGGGGGGAGTTGATCAGAAGATTGAGCCTGAGTAGAATGAAAGCACTCTCTCAGACGGAGATGTTAGTAACCACCTGACATCTGCTTGTGATGGCTCTAACATCTTGTGAATTCTCCCTCCTGACACGTTCTGGGCATTGCAGCTTGTGACCCATCCCAGTGCTGTAGAGACGTCATTTTCCTGAGGGACCCTCTGTGTCTCTACTGAGTGTCGCACGGAGGGCCTTGCATCTGCCAGCCCCTGCCCCAGCTGACACTGGAATTTGCATGGAGCCTCGCCCATTCACCAAGTGCCCACAGAGAAGCAGAGGGCTGCAGAGAGCTTCCCCACCTGTGCCCCTCGGAGGCCGGAGCCCACATCCTTCCAGAGCTCATTGTGTCTGGCCGAGAGCAGACTCGTGTTCAGTGTCATGCAGGAGGCACCGGCCCCCGCCCCTCTCCAGCCCGGCCAGGGCCAGGCTGACCCACATGTGCTTTTAACCCTCAAGCTCTCGTGCCTTTCTCAGAAGGAGCAAAGAAATAAGGAATCGGTTTCTGTTTCTTTCTCTTAAACATTTCTCAATCCTCACCCGAGGATATGCTTTTATTATTTTTAGAGAGAGACAGACAGACGAGAGAAACATGGATCGGTTGCCTCCTGTGCGTGCCCCAACTGGGGATCGAACCTGAAACCTTCTGGTGTGCGGACGACACTTCAACCAACTGAGCCCCCAGGCCACGGCTTAAACATTGCTTTAGAACATAAAGAGAGAAACATTTCATTTTACTAAAAGCCATGGCACTCAGTATGGTGGTTCTTAAAAAGATGGAAAAACTTTGATTAGCTATACCTCCCATACTTGTCTCCTGATTTATGTTTTAAGAAAAATAACTCAGACAGTTAATATCAGGGATCACCTTTTAAGTTCAGCTTCTTTTTTTTAAATAACAGTGAGATATAATTCACATGCCACCCAGTTCTCCCGTGTAAAGTTTCCAGCTCTGTGGGTTTTAACACAGTCACAGGGTTGTGTGACCCTCACCACAGTAGGAATCAGTTCTAAAGAGGGGCCTCCCCTGCCCCGGCACAGACCCAGGGCCTCCCCTGCATGAACATAGACCAGGGCCTCCCCTGCCCCGGCACAGACCCAGGGCCTCCCCTGCATGAACATAGACCAGGGCCTCCCCTGGGTGATGTAGATGCGGCCCAGTCCTGTCTCTCGCCGGCATGGCCGTATGGTGAGAGTTTAGACTGTGAGTGATGTTCTGACACGGGAAGACTGAATCATCAAAGCACAGATGATGTGCTCACAGAGGCAGAACAGTCTGCTAATTACTGGGGCTTGTTCAGCAGCAGAGCTTCAGGTCTGGGGCAGCTTCTCTGAGTTAACCCCAGAGCACCCAGCACCTTCCCCAGCCCAGGAGTGTTCAAGGGACGGCCTTCCTGTGCGGCTCTGTGCATGTGGCGAAGTGGCCAGTTTCCCGGTGGGGCCTGTCTTCCAGGGCGAGGAGGGAACACGTGGCTGAGCCCCGCGGGATGCGCTCTTTCCACGCTACTGGTCTCCGTCCCACTGAGGTCCCTGCTGGGACAGAGGATCCCGTTCGTCCAGCACCTGATGTCCCTGGCTGTGGTGGAGGCAGTCCGGTCCATCCCCGGGTACCAGGTACGTGCGGCTGCCTCACCGGGGCGTCCCCACCGTGTGTGCAGGTGCCGGCATGGTACATGTGCAGCATGTGTTTGCATGACGGCTGCATGTAGAACCTTGGCCTGCTCTTTGCCACGTTGGCAGCAGCGCCCTGGAGTTTGTAGCTGCTTTAGGCGCCAGGATGGGCTTCTCCCCGGGGCCCCTTCTGTGCTGTTGTCAAATAGCCACAGCCGGGGAAGGACGAGACTTGTTTTTATGGAAGCACGTTGGACTGGAGGGCTGTTTGTGTTTCCGGTGAAAGGCTTGTTTTATAGGCCAGAAAATCCCTCTCATTTCCCACCCGTTCCCCGGCCTGTGCTCAGCAGGGCGGCTGGGGCTGCAGTTGCGCAGGCTCGGCGTGCGGTTTGTCTGGGACGCTGCCCCAGCCGAGGGGACAGATGTGCCCGCTCCATCCTTCCTGTTGGGGCTTTGGTGTCAGGGACTAAGAAGACAAGGAAAAGGGGGCGAGCACCACAGTGACTAAAAGCCGTCTCTCCGGTACCTGCCCCACCTGTCAGGGAGAATTCCATGTGGCCATAAAGAAGGGGTGTCCCCTGCCTTCTCCCCACCTGCAGCTCTTACTTACGTCGGGCTAGACACGTTCATGGGATTAATTCCCGAGGCACGGTGCTGAGCGTGTGGCTCTCAGAGGAGGCTGGTCCCTGCGTTTAAACAGAGCGGCCCGCCAGTCCCGAGCTGCAGGCACGCCCTCACAGTCACCGCGAGCAGGACCTGGGTACGCTTCAGGCCACCACGGTATGGGTCAGCCCAGGGCCATCTTTCTCGCGTCGGCTCCTTGACACCTGAGAGCCTTATTCTCCCCCCCCCCCCCCCCCCCCGCCTGCATCTAGCACGTGGTAGCTGCTCCATGGTGGTTGATGCTGAGAAAATGAACTGCACTCACCAATAGGCATCTTCAGGAAGGGTTTTTTTATGATAATAAACAGTGATGGGGGAGGGAAGAATGATGCAGTTAATGCCAGATATGTCCTTGGGTCCCTCTCCTTGTAGCCCTGAGAGGTGCTCTAACACTGGCTTGTCCCAAAGGAGTGGTTGTCATTCTGAAAAAGAAGAGGGGTGAGGCCCTGGTTCTTGCTTTCCAGGGTGCTCTGTTTCTCTCCCTTTTAGCTGGAGGCCTCAGCAGGGCCCTGGTGTCTGTGACGCCTTCATTAACATGCAGACTTCCCTTTAGGACATCAACCTTCGGGTGAAGTGGCCCAACGACATTTACTACAGTGACCTCATGAAGCTTGGCGGAGTTCTGGTTAACTCGACGCTTGTGGGAGAAACATTTTATATTCTTATTGGTAAGTTTTTAAAGCCTTTCCCCCAGCATTTGGCTGTGTTGGGGGAGTGAATTATCATACGAATTACTTTTTCTTTGAGTCCTGTATTATAGAATGTGTGCAAAATAGGCAGATTAGTTGAAAGTGCTTCGAGGGGTTTATTAGCCTTCCCATCTATGGCCATGGAAACCAAATTGGTATCATGTCAGATGCATTTTCCTACACCTTCCTACACTCCTGCTCCTTGTTGAATTAGAAATGGTGAAAGTCCTAGTAAACCACAGTGAGATAGCACCTCACACCTGTTAGCATGGTGTGTATCAAAAAGATAAGAAATGACAAGTGTTGGTGAGGATGTGGAGAAAAAGGAATTCTTGTGCCCTGTTGGTGGAAATGCAGATTGATGAAGCCACTATGGAGCTGAGGTTCCTCAAAAATTAAAAATAGATCTAGCATATGACCCAGAATTTTTGGCATCGTGTACACTGAATTCCATGCCTACACTCTAGATGCTTCCAGGATTGTGTGCAGAGCTAAATGAATGAACCAACGAACCCCTGCAGAATCTGCTCTGTTGTTGGAGTTACTTTTGTTTTCTAGATGTAAATGCTATTGCTTTGTTTTTTAATAGGCACATATTTTAAAAATACATGCTGAGGCCAATCAACCCTTCACTGCACTGAGAATGGATCAGAACATTGACCGAAGGACAGCGCTAATGTAAACGTCATTGTTCTGTGTGAGGAGCGTGTGGGGTGTGTTCTCAGAGGCCTGAGAACACGGTTGCCTTGCTGCTAGGCTTGCAGTGTTTCATGGCTGACTGAGGGCCCCTGTGAGGTTGATTCAGGGCCCTGCTGAACACGGGGGTTCAGCTTCTCTGAAGGCTGGTGGCTCCCGGAGAGACGGCGGTGTGAGTAACAGCAGAGAGAAGCCTGTTCAGGCCCCGCTGCTGGTAACGCAGCCTCCTGAGGCCTGGCTTAGGCGGCCAGCAAAGAGCCACTGAAAAGGGGTTGGCCCCTCGCCAGCAGCTAAGCCTAGCACTGAAGACATCCAAGGATAAAGCATTAAAAGATCTGTTCTAGGGTTATTCCATCACCAGGCTTTGAAACCTCTGAATCCACAGTTTACTCCTTAAGACCTGAATAAAATTCTCTTTTCAAGCATGTGTTCTGTTACTCAAGTAGGAAAAGAAACAAGAGCTTGTCGGTGCTGAGCTGCAGGTCTAGGCTGGACCACACGAGCTACCGTTTCAGAAGCAACGCTGAGAAGTTTTGTCGTCCCCCCCCCCCCCCACACACACCGGCTTCTGTTTAACTGAATCAGAAGTGGCTTGCTTCTTTCCATCTTATTGCCAGAAGGTGGGGATGGTCCTGGCTGGATGGGGGCAATGAAGGAAGAATGGAAAGATAGATGGGCGCAAATATATGTGTCCCTCCGTGAGTGGGCAGCAAAGTGCACATGGATGAGGGCAGGGAGGCAGGAAGCTGACAGTGAACGCTGTCCCTCCTTCCAGACGTTGAGACGTTGACAGGAACAGGTGATGCCATCAGCAGGTTGAGCTGTGCATGTTTTTCAGTTGTTTGTTTGTTTTTGACCAGGCTGTGGATTTAACGTGACCAACAGTAACCCCACCATATGCATCAACGACCTCATCACAGAATACAATAAGAAGCACGGGGCGGACCTGGCGCCCTTAAGAGCTGATTGTCTCATCGCCAGAACGGTGACGGTGCTGGAGAGCCTGATTGACACGTTTCAGGACGCAGGGCCCAGCGGGGTTCTCCCCCTTTATTACAAGTACTGGGCACACAGGTCAGTGCTGGCGCCTCTTCGTTCCTTATGAAGCCAGTAGGTCAGTCTCGTCAACTGAGAAACTAAGCCCCCGTCGGCCTAGCTTCTGATGGAGAAACCTGGTGGACACGCCTCCCTGGACAGCGCCGCCAGTCCCAGGCCCGCTGACCTCCCGGGATGCGCTGGGAGGGACCCCATCACTGAGAGGTTTCCTGCCAGCATGTTTAAGCTGAATCTAATTGTGAGGAAACAGACAAATGTAAATTGTGGAACATTCTAGATAACAATGGTTTTCAAAGTGAGCTTCCCCAGGCTGTGGGAACTTGGGGGGAATACCGATTCTTGAGTCTCCCTGACAACCTTCTACATCAGAAACCCCAAGGCTGGGCCCAGCTTTGTGCTCTGACAAAGGCCCCAGGGGATTCCCAGGCACTGGAGTTTTTGAGAAGCCTGATGTGCGCCCACAGGCCTCTGCCTTCCCAACGCCAGTGCCTTAGGCAGGCAGGTGGGCGCTTTCTGAGAGTAAAACGCACGCATGGCATGAAGTGCGACATGTGCTGCATAACTAGATGCTGCTGGGAGGGAGGCGCCCCAGAGGACGCTGCTAAGGAGACAGTGGGAGATGCGAGCTTGTGGGGTGTGAGGTCATGTTAGTGCAGCACCGTTAGTTCCCAAGGGAGAGTGCTGTTAGGTTCTTCAGGGCTGCATTCTCATTCGTAGGCGACACATGATGAAGCGTCTGAGTGTCATGATATTGCAACTTATTTTAAATGTCAGCCCCCAGAAAGTGTGTATGTGTGATCAGTTGATATGAATTTAAGTAAAGGGAGAGTATGAGATCCACTGTATTATTTTTTCAACTTTTCTATAAGTTTGAAATTCTTAAAAAAAAAAAGTTGGGGGAGGGGAATTCTGTACTTCTAAAACTTAAAATTGTATACATTTGGAAAATATGTAAAAGAGAACTTTTCAGCTCAGCTTCTTTTCCCGTAACCTCAGCCAAAACACTTAGAGCGTGGCCAGTGTTCTTAAAAGTGCTCGAGTGGGAGGAGGGGGAAGACCAGCGGCCACTCCTGCCCTGGCCGGTGCTCAGTGGGTTAGGGCGTCATCCCGAGGTCAGGGCCATACAGGAATCGACCAGTGAACGCATAAATAGGTGGAACAGCAAACCTCTCTCTCTGCCTCTCTCTCTAAATTCAATAAATACGTTTTAAAAAATAAAGAGGGAAGCAATTCCTAACTCCCTGTTGGACTTGCGCACACCCTGGTCATTGAAACAGCTCACGCGGACTGTGAGGCGGAGCGCAGACAAGGCATCTAACCTCGCCTGGCCCAGGCCCGCACCCCACACCCCTTCCTGTCAGGGATCAGGACTGTCAGCCGCGGCCCATTCCCGTGACCTCTCCCTGTGCTTTGTTCTCAGTGCCCAGCGAGTCCGCCTGGGGAGCGCCGAGGGGCCAGAGGCGTGGATCGTCGGCCTGGATGACTCCGGGTTCCTCCAGGTTCACCAGGAGGGTGGCCAGGTGGTGACTGTGCATCCGGATGGCAACTCCTTCGACATGCTCCGCAACCTCATCGTCCCCAAGCAGCGGTAGTGTCGTGGGAAGGCGGCCGGGGGCGCGCCGAGCGGGCCTGGCGCTGGGACCACTCAGGACTGGCCCCGGGCATGGCCACCGCAGCAAGCATTCCAGTTCGGGCCTGCTCTTTCCTTGCCCACAGATCTAGAACGCTAGCTTAGAGGTGTGGGCGAACGTCCTCTCCCTCCAGTTAACCTGTTAGTCCTTGAATTTTGTTCTGTCAGTTATTTCCTCGGGTGATGGGAGATCTGGGGGGAGGGTTGCTGCAAGGAAAAGGTTTAGTTCAGGTAAAGCCCTACCAAAGGTGTGACATTGTCCCCCCTCTTGGGCCTGGACGTGTGTTTATTGCAACCCCCCAAATATTTTTACCTGGAAACCACAATGGAATAATTCAAACCTTTCCCATCGGTGGAGACCTTTCCCCCTCGACTATTAAAAGGCAAATCAGAGACAGCTCCGGGCTGCGTGTTGGCAGGCGGAGGTGCAGCAGCTGTTTACAGCCCCGGGAGGCTTCCTTCGGGGCAGACTGGCACTCCTGCGGAGGCGTCACTTTTGTGTTAATGAAGAGACCGGCAGTTGGAGGTCCAATGGCAGGATCTGGTGGCCACAGAGGCGCGTCAGCTGGGCTGGCTGCGATGATCGTGCAGAGGAAATTGGTTAATTACTCTGACTGGTTTCTGAGCTCTCCTTTCAGAGCTTTAATTTCACTGCTTATTCTGAAGTGATGGGATCAGGGTCAGGGCCCTTCAGGGCTGATGAGGCCTTGCCCAGATGTGGGTACGCCCGGGCTGACAGCTGGGGATGGAGGCTCACGCTCCCAGGGAGGCCTGGGAGCTTTGGAGCCCGTGGAGGCGGCTTTGGAACGTTCTAGTGAGACTGCTCACAGGACACAGAAGCACGTGGCCTGGTATTTGTCAATCATTATTTTTTGCCCCTTCTGATACAGACAAGAAAGAAAATGTGATTGATTTGGAATGCCATCATTTAAGGTGTGTGTGTGTGTGTGTGTGTGTGTGTGTGTGTGTGTGTGAGAGAGAGAGAGAGAGAGAGAGAGAGAGAGAGAGAGAGAGAGAGAGCTCACTCTTTAAACTATCTTCAAAATCTGATATACTAAGTCTCCACCGAAGAACAAAAGAAAGGAAGCCTTTTGATATCCATTGCTGTTTCCAGATGTACTCCACGCTTTTTCCATGTAACTGCTATCTCTGTTGAATGTGTGAATCATGCATATTACTTTTCAGCCTTAAAAGGCCGATTTTTGCCCACTTTTCTCTCTTCCTGCCAGTCCCAAGTGAAATTAGCGGAAAGAAAACTGATGGCGCTCTCAGCTTTGAACAAAACCGCCTGATTGTGCAGCCAGCACCATCTTCACCCGCCCTCAGCCGGTCAGGCTGGAGGAGATCAGTGAGTGCGCCCTCAGCCAGGCACAGGCAGCCCCGCAGGAAGGGAGCAAAAGAAGGTTCAGTACACCCGCCCAATATGTGTTTTTTGGAAATGTAACTTTTTAAAAAGAACTTCAAAAGTAATTTTTGCAACTAAGACTTCAATTAGAATTATTCCCCCCCCCCCCCCACCCCAAAGGTCACTCTCTTCTAAATGCCCAAGTCTTCTTTTGGAGTTAGTCCCAAGTGTAAATAGAAGTTCACCCCACCCCAACACTACGAAACGGACTCGCCCTTGAGAGGGGTCTGCAAAGCATCACCAAGAAGAGCGATCTCGGGTGCATTCATCGCAGACTTGGTAACAGAAGGCAGGTCATCTCTCAGAGCCGCCGTCATTACTTGCCCGTTTCTTTGGGGGTTATTTAATGAAAAACATGCTATGTTTTGTTTTAAGCTGAAGTTCTATTCTGGACAGCTCTGTTTTGGGGGAAAAATGTTATCATTTAATTTCCTTTCTGTAAATTAAAACTAATGAAGTGTGGCCATGTCGGAGCAGAGGGAGCTGCGGGCGGCCAGCCTGTGTGTGCGAGGCTGCGCTTACTTGTGCCCCGTCCCGTGTCTTCAGGGAGACAAAATGGACTTGAAGCAGATGCTGAGCTTTTCCTAAAGCCGATTCTGCCTCAGATGAACCAAAGACTTTTTGAAATTCTGCTTCGTGTAGAGCAGCTGCATACAGACATTTCCTTAGAGCTGTCAGCACCAGAGGACCGCCCCCTCCTCCATGTGAGGTGACCATGCTCCCGGCAGTCTCATCCCAAGGAGCTTTTCAAGTCTTAACAGAAACTGCGTGGTCTTCAGTTTCTGAAACAGGACACTGAACTCAGGGTTGGTGTGTGCGTTTAGGACATGGAGTGGTCCCCCCGTGTGGAGGCTGCGCTTGAGCATCTGACAGGTTATGGGCAAGGCAGGTTTGGGGGACACTTTTAGAAGTGCCTGCTAACATAGGATCCGTCGGAGCTGGGCTTCCTATGGCCCATGGAGCAGGGGGTGAGGAAAACCACTCCTGGGGGATTTCCGGAGCCGGCCGGGTAGCCTGGCTGCATGCACAGGGCGTGGGCTAAGTGGGAAGGATTTGTGTCTGGCGTGAAACGGTCCTGGGGTTCATGGCTGCAGCACCCTCACTTGTGACCAGACAGAGAGGTAGATGCACAGGCCCAGGTTGGGTAGCACACCCTGCCCCCACATACGCCCCACAGTCTGAAAACCTGGAGAATCCAGCCTCACCCAGCAGATTGAGAATGCAATGAGACATTTTAGGCTGACAGTCTGTAGACCCGTTTGCTGCTAACAGACAGAAAACGGAGAATCTTTATTCCTGGGTAATTGCTATGCATATTCGAAATAAAAGGAAGTGGCGACCTTTGCATTTTTAGCTTTTCAAAGAATCGTGTCTGAAAAGTAACTACTTTAAGCCGATGCCTATAAAACACACGTCTACCAAAATAAACTTTAAGACTTTCTATACAGTTTGAGCTCCTTGTTATTTTTTACCACAAGTTTCATTTTTAAAAATAGACAACTACTTTTGGTTACAGTATTTTTATTCATATTTAAACATTTTTACAAAATAAATAGTTTTACAAGGTAAGGAATATGTATGTATTTCTAAGTATTAAGAAGCCGGTGCTTTTTTAAGACGTATTTTTGACAAATGTATTGTGTCATACAAAAGAGAATTCTTATTCCAAAGAAAGTTAGCAAAACCCAAAAATAAATCAAAAGAATAAGTGTTTGAGATGAAAAATAAATTTAATAAAACAACTTAATGTAAGTTTTTAAATTTAAAATAAATTGAATGCAACAACAAATTAAAGAACATACTTTGTTCTTGTAGAATTTTTTCTTACTCTTGTATTTTTTCTTACTGCTTGATCTGTCTTTCCAGTTTTAAGATTTAACCTTATAGATCATCCTTAAGTTTAGGATCAGCTTGAATAATGCATTTTAGATCAGGGCTATGATTCACTAACCATTTTAAGCTACTGCAATTTTCCAGCATTTATTTGAAAATGTTTTTATTCCATCTTATCTGTGGCAGTCTACCTTAACTGTCTTACAGTTACCATAAATTACAACTTCAGATAGACTTTATACAGGAGTCGTTGACCGTATAAACCGCTCCCGACCAGAGGGTCCAAGGGAGGAAGACGTGGGTAGAACTTAAAAGGACGGGGTGAGGAGGGGACATGTGGAGGCAGAAAATACAGGCTCTTGCAGATCTCTGAGTGGCCCTGCTTCCTACCCTGTTCACTTCTCTGCAAAGGTATGAATGGAATGGCTTTTCTAGAAAGGGCTTCTGTGAACATAAAGGAATTCCTTTCCCTGGGAGGCCCTGTGGAGGCCCTGTCAGTCTTGAGCTGGGCTTATTTCTCAATCCATTGGGTTAGGACCCACTACAGTTTGTGTGTGTGTGTGGGGGGGGGGGGGGGGGGGGGGGCTATTTATTAAAATGCTTCCTCTTCCCCTGCCAGGCCCTCACAGAAATCGAGAAGTGCTATCCCCAGCTTAATGTGCAGCCTCTCAAACATGGAGGTAACACGATTAAGTTGCCATAGTAACTGCTTCTGTTAAGTTTGCACTGAGCTGCTGACTGCCTGCTGCCAACTTGCCTAGGAATCTTACTTCACGTAAGATGTTTAGACAAGGGAGTCTTCTCAAGTACATGCACACTCTTTGTCAAGCAAATCTGTAACAGTGCTCTTTCTTCATGGTGACCTTTGATCTTAAACTGCCCCGAAACCTTTGTGGTTTGTTTTTTACTAAATGTGGCCCCCAATGGCTAGTAACAAAGTAGATGCAAAAGCATTTTGCTGTGCTTTATTGAAAAATGTCAGGTGATACACCTGCTCATCACACCTCCACCTTCTGGGAATCGCGGTTTCATTATGAGACTCGTGAGCCTAACAGTAACCCCTCGGGTGTTTTAGGTGCACGCACTCGCAAAGGGCTGCTTGCTAATGAGGTACGGCTAAGCGCAGGCCGGCAGGGCGGACGTCCATTCTTGTAACCCAGCCCCTGGCTGAACAACAGGTGCTCCTCAACTTGCAAATTTCATCTCAGACCACACGCTGCCCGGGAAGGAGGCAGGTCCTCACAGTGACACTTGGTTGGCAACAGGTTTCACATTTTCTCAGTCGAAGGTGCACTTTGGTTCTAGGATGATGAGTTAAAGACATTTGTGGAAAGCCCTTCCCTCAGGTGGGTCTTCCCGAAAGTAAACCATTTTTGAAAAACCAACACGGAGTGTTCATGGTGTGGAGCAAATTGACAGATGGTGGATCGAGGCATTGAGCTATGACACAACTTTTAAATGGTGAAACCCTGAAACAAAACTCTAAAAATGGAAGTATAAAACACTGCTGGTGCTTTATGAGAGGTTTCTGTTGGCCTGTAACAGACATGACGTGTTCGCCTGGAGTTTTGCTGCATAAAAAATGCTGCAGACTGTGCACATCATTTTCATGACATGCCTGGAGCGCGTTTTCTCCCGCGAGGCGCAGTCCACTGACCATGTCCCATGTTGCACATGCAGTTGAACTCACCAGCGCTGGCAGCAAGCACGGCCTGGGGATTGCAGGGCCAGAGGGTTCTGCCTTGTAACCCTGCCTGACAAGGGTAGCCAATCGCATTGGGCGCCTAAGTCACCCACGTGTCCATCTCCTAAACTCTCTGGCTGTGTGCATCCTTTTAGCATTTAATGCTTAATATTCTGAAGGCGCTGCTCTTGGTGTTACCCAGAGCTCAGAGGAAGGAAGAGCCTGTGGATGTACTTGAGAAGCACGCTCGCCACCTTGGTCTCAGCTTGTAGGCTTTTTGTATTAAAGAGTTAAAACAACGTTTCATGAAACTCATGCATGACTCTTAACGAGAATTGTCTATTCATGGGACTTAGGATAATCACCTTCTGCCTGGACTTAAACATCTGAAAGGGCTCCGAATGCAGGAAGCCCGCCCCAGCCCCACCCCGCATATCTGACCGCGTCAGGGTGCTCTCCTCCCTCAGGTGGAGGGCACTGGCGGAGCCAAAACTCCTCCAGTCCCACAGCGGGCGGTGCGCATCCCGGGCAGGCAGGGCGCGCGAGCCTGATTTCAAAATAAGGACACCAGGCGGCCCCAAACACGGGGTAGTTTGAGGTCACTCGTGGGGCTCTGCCCTTCAGGAAAACCCGGCTCCTGGAGGACCACGGTCGGGCAGTCGCTCCTCGGGCGGGGGGCAGGCCTCTCCGCCGGCCTTCACGGCATCTACGGTAAAAATCTAACAGCGGCGGGGTGCTAGTAAAATAGTCGTCTCTGTATAAATTAATTTAAATCGTGCATATACAGCTCGCCCCTCTGACCTCAGCTGGACGCTAGGACGCCGGGGCCACAGCGGCCTGGCCGGAGCCGGCCGGGTCACCTGCCGTGGGTGATGATGACCGAGGCGCCCAGGTAGTGCGGCAGGGGCGCGGCGGGCGGCGCGGCGGCGGCGGCGGGGCCGGGGGGCCGGGGCCGGTGCGCCGAGGCCGCCGCCTCCGGGGCGTGGGGGCCGCAGGCGAGGGCGGGCGGGGCGGGCGCAGCGCCCCCCAGCGGCCCGCGCCGGGCCAGCACGCGGTGGTAGTTGAGCAGCACGAAGGGCAGCTGCGCGGGCGCGGGGGGCTCGGGGGCGGGCGCGCAGCACTCGGGCGCCGCGCGGGCCAGCGCCAGGCGCGCCCCTTCCCGCGGGGCCGGGCGGGCAGCCTTGGCCGGGCCGGGCGCGGGCTCCTCGCGGTAGTGGCCGCAGCTCGGGAAGCTGGGCGGCGGCGCGGTGTCCTCGCCGAACCTGCGCGCGGGGACGGGCGCTGCGGGGACAGGCGACAGGTTAGACATCCCGGAGGGGAAGCAGGGCCAATGCCTAAGGCGCCGCCTCCGCCCCTCGCCACCCGAGCTCAACCCGCAGTCCCTGCGCCTGGTGCCTCCCGGGCCCGCGTCATCCAGTCGTAAGATGCGATTTGCAATGTTCCGGTGCCTCGCATTAAGGCGCGGAGAGCAGGTGAGATGACTAATACTTAATTCAATACAACATATCCCAAGTATTTCACGGGACGATCGAACCATGCTTTGTGCCCTGGCCGGTTTGGCTCAGTGGGTAGAGCCTCGGTCTGCGGACCAAAAGGTCCCGGGTTCGATTGCGGTCAAGGGCACATCCCTCCATTACAGGCTCCTTCCTGCGGGGCCCTGGTCAGGGCACGTGCAGGAGGCAACCAACCCATGTGAGATGTTTCTGTCCCTCTCTCTTCCACTCTCTCTCTAAAAACCAATGGGAAAATTATCCCCGGGTGAGGATTATAAAAATAAAAGTATTTCTTGTTCCTGTGTTTGAGTGCGGTCGGACAGCCCACCTCACCATGGCCGATGGCTACCAGGCTGGGCAGCGCTGGTCTGGAGGTCGGTCCTGGGGGAGGGGCCCCAGTCACCCCACCTTTCTGGCTGATCCCTCAGTGGGGACAGGAGTGAGAATCTCCCTGCTCCCTTCAGGGCTGTCAGGTTAATATAATAACCACCTCCCCTAAGCAGATGCTCGCCACCAACTGGCTCCTCCTGCCTTTTACCTTAAGGCCACCTTTGTCTCTCTTTAATGTGAAAACACCAGGAAGTTGACCACAAATTGCCCCAAATTAGCACCTCCGGGCCATATGTTACACCAAGTGCGTGATAAATGAGGTGGTTATTAACCTCTCGCTTTCAAAATAGCCATTTAAAAACCCAAGCCCTGCTGTCTCACTGGCGACACCCACACAAGCAATTCTTTCAGCCACTCAGATGGACAACGTTTTCAGCTACTGCCAAAGCCCTTGGTTCTGTCTGTCTTTCCTTGGAGGCCCCAGAACCCTTGGTTATCTGAGGGCCCAGCTGGTACTGGGGATCCACATCTGAGAAGCCTGGGACAGGCCCAGGCCACAGGCAGGGCTGCACTGCCCCCGTGGCTGGGAGTTTTTTCTTAAATCGGTTACTTCTGAAAAACACGTCCTGGCATCTCTGAGGTTCGAGTTCTCCCAGGCCCTTCGCAGCCTGGAACGAGGGTCAGAGCACAGGCTGAGAGCTGCCCGAGCAGCAGGAGGAGGACCGAGCCCTACCTGCCTCCAGAGGGGACGGTGGGGCCAGGCCAGCGTGGCTCAGTGGTTGAGCATCGACCTATGAACCAGGAGGTCACAGTTCCATTCTCAGTCAGGGCACATGCCCAGGTTGCTGGCTTGATCCCCAGTGTGGGTCATGCAGGAGGCAGCCGATCCATGATTCTTTCTCATCATTGATGTTTCTCTCTCTCTCCCTCTCCCTTCCTCTCTCTAAAAATCAATAAAAAAATTTAAAAAAACAGGATGGTGGGGGAGGGAGCCCCAGGGGCCATCCTCTCTGAGCACGGGATCCTTTTCTGTGTCCAGCGGCCCCCGCAGGGCATTTGCACCGCCTTGGTCTGCATTTTGCACAGTAGCCAAGTCAGGGTGCAAAGGAAATACCTCCTGCAGCCAGTCCTCAACCCATCTCCTACCTTCTGCCTGGGGTGGGCCCAGCGAGCAAACAGGAGTCTGCTGGGCCCAGGGCAGCGGGTGGCACCTCCATGGGGGACCTTTTTCTGCTTGCCGGCCACCAGGAGGAGCTGGCCGAGGGACCATTCCTGTCTCTCTGTTGTGGAACTAGTGTGTGCAGGACAAGCACCTACTGTGTGCTGAGCCCCAGGGTAAGCATGTCCCACGGCTTAGGAGCCCAGTTATAGAAACTGAGTCCTGGTCGGGGAGGGGTTGGTGAGTGACGTCTGTCCCTGAGTCCTGAATTTCCACTGCTGTTTGACGCACTTTGAAAATTGGCATGGGAAGAAAACCAAGTCTCCTATATTCTTTTTTGGCTGGAGCAGAGCATCTATAATAATAAAAGGGTAATATGCTAATTAGACCAGACATCCTTCTGGACATCCTTCTGGACGAAGCTGGGGCAGAGGGAAGCCAGTGCCAGCAGCTAGGGGAAGGGAGGCCTACTCTTGCACGAATTTTGTGCATCAGGCCTCTAGCGAACTTATAAAATACGTGCAGCCTGGCTGGCGTGGCTCAGTGGTTGAGCATCGACCTATGAACCAGGAGATCACAGTTCAATTCCCGGTCAGGGCACATGCCCAGGTTGCAGGCTCAAACTCCAGTGTGGGGCGTGCAGGAGGCAGCCAATCAACGATTCCCTCTCATCATTGATTTTTCTATCTCTCTCTCTCTCTCTCCCTGCCTTCCCCTCTGACATCAATAAAATATATATATATATATTTTTTTTAAATATATTTTATTGATTTTTTACAGAGAGGAAGGGAGAGAGATAGAGAGTTAGAAACATCGATGAGAGAGAAACATCGATCAGCTGCCTCCTGCACATCTCCCACTGGGGATGTGCCCGCAACCCAGGTACATGCCCTTGACCGGAATCGAACCTGGGACCTTTCAGTCCACAGGCCGACGCTCTATCCACTGAGCCAAACTGGTTTCGGCAAAAAATATATATTTTAAAAAAGTAAAATGCGTGCAGCTGAGCCCTTCTCAGGACGTGGAAGCTGCCTTTGAAAATCACTCCATCTCCCTCGGAGGGAGCAGAGGCCAGGATGTCAGGGGCGGCTGAGCCTGGTTCCTGCGCCCTTGTACTGTCACTGGTGCCTCTGAGCACACGGACCAGTCACGGGCTTTAGCCCCTCACAGGAGGCGCTGGCATTGAGAGCAGGAAAGCGCCGAGATCCCTACTCAGAAGCGGAAAAAGGGGAAGTGTGCCCAAACTGTGAGGGTCCTTCTCCACCCTCCACCCACCGCCACCACCGCCGTCCGCAGCCCCGCCCCCGCCCCTCGTGCCCACGGGACCCACCTTCGTAGTTTGGCACCAGGCTGTGCCGGGCAGTGTTCACCGGTGGCTCAGAGAGGTTTTTAGCTGGAGATGAGCTGCCAGGCACCAGGGGGTTGGCATAGTGCCACTGGCACTCGCCGCCGGCTGGCAGCGCGCTCAGGAAAAAGCGCGCCACCTCGCACGGGGACCCCTGGGGTCCGAATTTGGCCGGCAGCACGGGCTTTTTGCTGCTGAAGACGTGGGGGTCCAGGGGGCAGTGTCCGTAGCGGTAGGAGAAGGGCAGGCTGTAGGGCGGGGTGTACAGGAGGTCGCCGCCTTCGGGGTGCAGCTGCTGTTCCGGGGGGGCCGTGGCGTCCGTGGGGGGGCTGGCCCTCCAGTTTGCCAGCTGGCCGCATTCCAGTCTGTCCATCGGGAACGGGCTGAACTGCTGTGTGGCACAGGACGCGGTGAAGGGGGCCTCCTCAGGCCCGAGCCCGGAGCCTGACCCCTCCCAGGGCTGGACCCCTCCGGCCACCACCGCGAGGTCCCACTGGGCCAGGTGCCCGGCAGACAGCACCCCAGGGACCCTCCCCCAGGTACAACATCTCCTCTCCCCAAGCCGGCGGCACCACACACAAGGGCACCTGCCAGTTCTAAGAGCTCGCAAACCATGGAAAAAAAGAAAGAGGAGCCGCCTGCATGGCTCAGGGATTGAGCGTCGGCCTATGACCCAGGAAGTCAGGGTTCGATTCCCGGTCAGGGCCCAGGCCCAGTTTGTGGGCTCGATCCCCAGCGTGGGAGGTGCAGGAGGCAACCGATCCATGATTCTCTCTCATCACTGATGTTTCTATCTTCCCTCTCCCTTCCTCTCTCAAATCAATAAAAATATATTTTAAAAAGAAAAAGGGAGAAAAAGTGTTGTTTTTTTAAAATGCTGTGGAAACAGACGGTGCCCCTGGGCTGGGACCCACCTCTCCGTGGACGCTGCGCCTGCCCAGGGGGCCCTGCCCAGGCCACCAGGCCAGGCCTGCACACCTCGCCTGTGTCCCCATCAAGCGGAGACCCCGCTAGGCCATGAGCGTGGGCCGCTCCCTAAGATGCCCACCCGCCCGTGTTACCTGCGGGGGGTAAGGGTTTGTTCTCAGCTTCGTCTTCATCTTCGTGGTTTTGGGTTTGGCTAACTTCCTAGTTTCTTGTGAGGTAGACAGGGCGGTCCTCCAGGAGTCCTGGGACTTGGCCGTGGACACCTGGTCCAGGGACAGCTGCAGCTCCTTGTACTCAACGTCCCTGCGAGCCAAGAGGGGCAGGCGTGTCCAGCCGGCTTGCGGGGGGCTCCCAGCACCGCCCAGCGGGGTCGCCCTCCACGCTCCAGGGGCCATTTCAGAGGCCGGTGTGGGCGGGATTGGAGAAAAGGACAGGCCCCCTCGTTATAAAAGCCACCCCGCAGCCCGGGTGCGGCGCCCCCAGAAATGCTGAGTGAGGACAGTGTTATTCGGCAGAAATAGCGGGGTGCAGCTCTCTTCAATCCCCCGGGACCCCAAACACACGGCCTGGGGACCGTGGGCGCTGTCTCCGAGCATCGGTGGCCCCACCGCCTCGTGAGCCCCCAGGGAGGCCTGGGTGGGAACCTAGAGGGTCCAGGGGCCCATTTTTGCCCTAAAGAGCCACCTCAGTGCCCTCGTGCCCATGGAGGGGAGGCCGCCCACACTACTGGCCCTGCCACATCTATTTGTTCGTAAAGTGTTTAGGGGCTAAAATGCTCTCGTCCCTACAGTTTTGCTAAAATCACTCCGTTTCTAATAAAAAAACAAGACCCCAGCGCCCTATCGTCCCGTGAGAGAACGCGGCGCCTGAATCTCACTGCCTCAGAGCAGCTGGAGGGCCCTGCTCAGAGCGGGCTGGGGGCACAAGGCCAGCAAGTCCCGGGTAGAGCCAGGTGCCCGCTGAGAACATACCATAGCACGGGGGGTGGGGGGGGGGTGGGGGGGGGCGGAGCGTAATATATGGTCGCAGGTAGACTTAGGTCCTGCTCCTCCTAATGGTCTTAAAAGTATTTGTCACTGAACTTGACCTTCTGGGGCTTAAAAGGGACCACATCTTTGCCATCATTTGCAATAGGCTATATAGGAAGAGGGGGAATGGAGCTATCCCCATCCCAAATGGCAGGGGCAGGGGCAGGGGCAGGGGCAGGGGCAGGCACGGGACCCAGCCGTGTGGGCATGGGAGGGTCAGCATGTATGTCAGGTCCGGGACCTGCATCCCTTCCCTCCTGTTCAGGATGGGGAGCAGCCCGCCCTCCCTCTGCCCACCCCCGCTCTCACCTGAGCTCAGACCCTCCCACTCCCAGCCCGGAGCCGGGCCGGGCCCCCTGTCCCCCAGCCCCTGGCCCTCGGTGCTGAGTACTGAGATGGTCGGGACCTTCCCAATCCACCGGAGTGTTCAAATGCAAACAAAACAGGAGACAAATGAAAGTTCCAGAAAGAGAGAGAGAGAGACGGTGCTGATGGGAGCGGTCGATGAGGGACAGGAGGAGAGAGAGCAAGGAGAGAAACAAATACGTCTGACTTACGTGAGGACATAATTGACACTCACGATGCAGTGGGGCCGGGACGAGCGGCTGTTGTGCACGACCGTGGCGTAGCTCTGCACCCACACCCAGCCGCCCCGCTTGGAGAGCAGCCGGTAGTACTTGGTGGTGACCTGGCCCTTCACCAGCACTGCAAGCAGAGGCGACAGGGCCCCGAGGGACCGTTAGCAGCCCTGCCTGTGGGGACGCTGACCCCGGGTGACCCACAGCCCTGGCCCTGAACCTGCCTGGGGTCAAGGAGCCCTCCGGGAACCTGACAAAGAGGGCAGCTCTCCCTGCTGGAGGGTGCAAGCTTGTGCACACACCCTACACCCTCTCTCTCTCTCACACACACTCACACACACACACTCACACTTTCTCTCTCTCCTCCCCTCCGCCCTCTCTCTCTCATGATTTCTGCCAATGATTCCAAGGGATGGGAGGAGCTCTCTCTTCTCTCCCTTGTTGAGAACTCGAATTTAAAGCCACTGCGTTCACTGGGCATCAATGAGCCCCGTCAGCATTTCCCCTGGCAGAGTGACAACACTGGGTCTGCCTTTCACATTTCCAAGCGCCACAATTACTAGTATGTTATAACCCAGCCCTGTAACAGGTGGGGATGGGGCGGAGGGCGGGGTGATGTAGTTATTTAAACAAGACAGTAAGTGACGTGACTCAACTACGCGTCCGCCTGCTGTCCACTGCTGCGCCCAGAACCCCTGTGCATTCAGTGACACTGTTTCCCGGTCGCCGTATGTCTTCTTCCCTTCAACCCGAGCTTTCCCGGGAGTTAGTGCCCGTGTGGCTCACGTGGGAAGACCTCTGCTTGAGTGGCAGTGCCTGAGCACCAGGCGTGTGCCGCCTCTGTGCAGAGCCAACGCCAGGCTGCTGGGCGCTGGCTCCCGGAGCCTGGGCACGCACACACCGCCGCCTCCTCCAGGCCGGTGCGGGAGGGCTGGGGGTGCGGGTGGGGCAGGGGAGACTCCGGTGGGCGGTGGGAAGGAGGAAGGCGGACTTATCTTCCCCAGGGGAGGCCAGCGCCGTCTAGAAAGGCACCCCTGGAGGCCGGGTCACTTGTGGCCGCAGGCATTCCTGCTCCTCCGGGCGGCTGGCCTGGCCTGTAACTAGCAGACAGCGGGGCAGGGGGCGGGGAGGTGGCCAAGCCTCTGACTGCAGTAGCTGGTGCTGGAGGACCCCCCACCCCCCGAGATCCACAGACACAGAAATTCAACCCCCGGTACCGCCAGGCAGAGCCCCGCCCTCTCCACCCGGGCCCCTGGGCCCCCGTGGCACCTGTGGCTTCGGGGCTGGGGGACCTGACGGCCATCCTCACACCTGCAGTGAGACGTTCTGGGCAGAGAACCTGCTGCCACGTGACAGTCGGGGCGTGACCAGCTCAGTGGAGGGCGAGCTCAGCCGACGGATGGAGACACCGAGACCCTCGCAGTAACGCGCAAAGGACACGATCAAACAGCCGCCAAAGACCACACACAACTGGCAACCACGTTTCCGCTGGTTTAACTCGTGGCTGGATGCCAGCCACCCAACCAACAGACATGTAAAGAGGAACCAATAAGGCATGATTCCAGCGACGGCAATGTCCGGAACAGGGACACCGTGGGGGCGGAAAGCAGGTGAGCGGGGCCGGGCTGGAGGACGAGGGGGCCGGGGTGAGGGGAGAATGTCCTGGAATTAGGCACAGGCGGCAGCGGCGTGCCCTGTAAATACCCTGCAAACCACCGGCAGGCGTGAACACGTGATCCATGGGGAGGGGCACCGTCACATGATGGACGCGGGAGCTGGTGGGCCTCTGGAAAGCAGGTGCTTCTGGGAAACGGATGCCCCGACTTCTGGGCACCGACCCCACGGGAATCGTGAATTGTGCACAAGGACTGGACCCCAATGAGTCCCCTGCAGCCCTGCTTGTCATTCGGGGCCACGGCAGGAAGAGGGCAAAGCCATGACGAGTGTTCGCAGCCACGACCTGCTGGCTAATGGGAAGGTGTGACATCACGGGGGGGTGACATCACAGGGAACATGGACATCATGGGGAAGGGGTGACATCACAGGGAACATGGACATCATGGGGAAGGGGTGACATCACAGGGAACATGGACATCATGGGGAAGGGGTGACATCACAGGGAACATGGACATCATGGGGAAGGGGTGACATCACAGGGAACATGGACATCATGGGGAAGGGGTGACATCACAGGGAACATGGACATCATGGGGACGGTGTGACATCACAGGAAAGTGTAGGGAAGGGGACGTGAAGGAAAGACAAGGGGCAGAGACCTGCCTGACTGTGACCTTGGCCAGGCACTCAGCTCCCGTTTCTCCAAGTGGCCATTGTGGGAGGAGGGGCCAGCAGCTTCCAGAAGGTTCTGTGTAGCTACATATGGGGCTGGGGTGGGCCAATCAGGGGAGACCTAATTAACCAATCTGCTTATGGCCCCAAAAGATGTGACATAATCAGACTGAGGTCCCACCGGTGGGTTTCCCCAGAGACCGTGCCTTCTCCCAGAGGAACGCGTATTGCTTCTGCTGGGAAACCCACTCCTGGCAGCATCTGCCAAGCCCCAGGAGTATGACCGGACACCTCATTCTTCCTGGTTTCCAGGCAACGTTCGTAAGACCCGTCTGTCACCATCTTAAAGCCGGACACACGGAAGCCAGGTCATTCCGAGTTTAGATCAGGACCCACGTGGTGGACAGGGCACGGATTTCTCTCCCGCCTCCCCGCCTCTGCTCTGAGGCGGCCAAACACGGACGTGGGGCACTTTCCTTCTGCTTTTCCCTGACCCATGGCGACCGTCGGCACAGCAACCCAAGAGGAAATCCGAGACGTCTAGTCACGACACTCAGCCTGCTCTCGCGGCCCTGTGGCCTGTGGTCCGAGAGAGCTGCCCGAAAGGATCCCGGGCTGGAATGGTCTAGAATAAGTGTCTGCTGTGGTTGTGATGGACGGACGGAGGGGGGTGCACCCCCCACCGTAAGCTCCTGACCGTGCACCTTGGAGCCATATCCCCAACCTCGCAGGCCGAGGCGGCTCTGAAATCGGGGCCCACGCCCAGGTGACAGCCAGCGGCCGTGCTTTTCTGAGGTGACTTTGGGATGGAAACTCTGGTTCCATAAATGTGCTTCCCCCAAAATCGGGGGCCTTCCTGGTTCCCCCGGAATCCTCCCTGGGAAGACAGACTGGCCTGAAGCATAATTTCTATGTCTGTTTTGAACTTTAGGAGCTGAGCAGGACACCAAAAATGCCTGCCATGGGTAGGCGAGTGTCCCCCCCAAGAGAGAGCCTCTACATCCTAAACCCCAGAACCCACGAGTGACCGTATCGGGGAAAGGGTCTTCGCAGTGTGACGAAGGCTCTCACAACGAGATCCTCCTGGATCAGGGTGGATCAGGGCCCCAAATCCAGCCAGAGGGGACGCCGACACGCAGAGGGAGACAGGCGGAGCTGGGAGTGCGTGGCCACAAGCCAAGACATGCCGGCCGCCACCAGCGGTGGAGGAGACGAGGGAAGATTCACCCCTGAAGCCCCCAGAGGAGCACAGCAGCCGACCCCTCGATCTCGGACTCCAGCCTCCAGGCCGGGAGCCAGATTTCTGTTTTTCGGCCCAAGGTGCGCGGCGTTTGGTGACAGGGCCCCGGGACGGTAAAGCACCTGCCGTGGGAAAATCGGCAAGTGACTCCCTGCCTGCCCTCTCCTGGCTCCTGCCTCGGTGCTGGGGGCCGATGGGGGGGTCTCAGAGAGTGAGCCGTCGGGAGGCCGGAGTCCACCAGCCTTGTGCTCCTGGGGGGACCGGGTCCGGGATGCGGTGTGGCCCCCACACAGCCCCCCGCCCTGCCTGCTGCCGCGCTGCTTGTTGGGGAGACATGGGAAGCCCTGCGAAGAGAAGCACTTGGGGCGACATTTCCACAGGCCACACCCTGGGCCGTCTGCAGAGCGACCCTGACCCTGACCCTGACCCTGGATGACGGGCTGAACTGGCCTGTCGCGTGCCCTTTGGCACGGAGCAGAAGGGTCAGTCTGTGATGATAAATGTCCAACCTGCTCCTGGCGATCGGGGGCCATGGGACGGCTTTGAGGATGACTTCCCGCTTCCTGCTCTCAGCCCCTCCCCCGCAGTGCGGGTTCCCCACCCCTGCGGCCCCAAGACAAGCGCTGCCACCTTCCAACTCTGCTCCCCGACTCTGCTCGGAGGGAGCCTCTGGGGAGCTCTTCGGTGAGTTAAGCTGCACTGTCCATGACCAGCCCGAGGCCGCGAGGCCAGCGTGGAGCCCGTGTCCCGGTGCTGTCGGTCACACTCCTCCCAGCGATGGGAAATGCCCTCTTTCACCTTCATCTTCCGTTTGGAGACCTTTGTCCCCGAGCGGTTGCAAACAGAAGCCCATTTGCGGTCTGTCTGCACCCGCCGGGGCCTGGCTCTGTGTCTCCTCGGCGGTTTCGGCGGCGGGAAAGGTCGGAGTCGTGCACGGTCGCCATCACTGTCCGTGTCGCTGGTTCTTGCTTCCTCTGATTCACTGATTCTTGCCCGTCTGGCCGAGAAAGCCACGCTCCCTCTGGGCCCACACACGCGGGCTGCTCTGTGCTCCTCGGAGGCCCGGGCTCGCCTCCCCTTCCAGTCCCTTCGGATCAGCCCGTCCGAAGGTGAGCAAATGTGTCCTGGGATCCAGGGGACCCCAGAGAAAAGCCCTTGGGGGGAAGCCAGGTGAGCTGGGGAAGCCGGGCCCCTGGGGACACAGACGGCCGGGCTCTGGGTGTGACCACCGTGGGCTGCGACCGGCTGAAGGCTGAGGGCCACGCCGTCCAGCTCCGGTCCCACCCGGTGCGGCTGCGGCCTCGCCTGGCTCCCCTGGGAATGGACAGAGCCCAGCTCCCCACGGGCCCAGGTCACAGTCCGGGAACAGGAGCCCCGCTGGGCAGCACGGAGGTCTCACTACCTTTCCAAACACTCACTGTATCGACTTCCCCTGGGAACGCCTCTCCCGTTGGCCGGGCGGGGGGAGGGGTAGAAAACGGGGCTGGAAGCCAGTGCTGCTCAGTGGTTGAGCGCTGACCCATGAGCCAGGAGGTCAGGGTTGAACTCCACAAGCTTTCCTTCTCGCGCCGCAGCCCCGCGTAGAACGACGCGTCCATGTGAGTCAGGGGCTTGCTGTCCACTCGCCCGCAGGACACAGCGGCTCCCTAACACGCTCCTGCCTCGGCCGAGGGGGCTTGGAGCCCCCCGGGGCTGGGTCTCCCCCTCTCCTCCCTCAGTGGTGGGGACTGTCCCCCGGGGGGGGGGGCGGGTGGAGTCTCTAGGAAGAAGCGTCCACGCCTGCGCAGGGGTGTCCCCCGTCACGGGTCTTGGCCTGCAGTGACTCAGGACAACGCCCCAGGACCGGGCAGCTCAGTGGTCCCCGTCCACACCCCATGGCCAGCCAGACACCGTGGCCGCAGGTGGAGCAGCCCTGGGCCTGCCGTCCGCCTGCCCCAGCCACTGGTCTCTGAGCCTCTTAGCACCGGGCAGAGCCAGGCGGGACGGGCACCCCCAGGCCGGCCACGGCACCGTGGGCTGCACGGCGAGGATGAGGCGTCCACTCCATCCCAGAGATTCGCTGCCTAAACTTGGACCCCAGAAGGGTCACTTCTTTAGGCATTTCAGTGACTAGAGCGCCCCCAACCCAACGCCCCAAACTGCCTCTGTTGGCCAATCGGATGCTGTGTGTTCACTCTCCCACACGGACCCCTCCCCGCCTGGAGGCCTGTGGGCTCCCGAGCTCCCCCAGCCCCAGCTCTGCCACCTCCTGCTGTGTGACCATGGGCAGGCGGCTCACCCTCTCTGAACCCCTGCACCCTCAGCAGTGAAAGGAGGGTCATGAACACGACGTCCCTCGGGGTTGACAGATGTTGGCTCCCTGACTCCACTGCCCTGCTCTGAGGGCTCCGTGTGGCTCTTTAACGGCTGTTACAACTGGTGTCCAGATGTCACAGAGAAACTTCGTCCCAAATCCACACTCTAGAATCTAGAAGCTTCCACACCATCCCCCACACCTGCCATGTCACTGGGTGTCTGAGCACTGACAACAGGAACTGCTTAAACCCAGGGGTGCGAGGGAGGACTCAGGCCTGAGGCTTACCGTTCCTGTGTGCACAGTGGACGGTCATCGTCGCACCGAGCGGGGACGCCCCCGCCCTCGGGCCTCCTCCCCGCCGCCGGGCCAGGCCGCGTGGGCAGTACTCACGGAGGTGGTGCGCGTAGCGGAGGTGGAAGGCGTCGCAGCCGTGCACGTGGTGGTACAGGGTCTTCTCGATCAGGTCCTGCGGCTCGTACCCCGTCAGCTCGGTCACCCTGGGGGCGGGGACGGGGCTCCGTGAGTTACCCTGCGCTGCGGCTGGGCTGCGATTCACCTTAGTTCTCACTGGTTTTGCCAACCCATCAGATGCTAAAAGGCCGGGGGTGGGCGGGATGCTGATTTGGGAAACTAGGAAAGATCGTTTTTTACAAGAAGAAGGTCTGAACTCCAGCCCGGGCCGGAGGGAGCGGCTTCGAGCAGCCTGCTCCTCGGACCCGGAACCGCGGCCGGAAGGTCGGGGCTCCACGCAGCGCTGGTCCAGGGGCAGCTCATCCGAGGACCTTCTGAGTGAACGTGGATCCGATGTCCGACAAAGCTGCCACCCTCAGAGAGAACCCCCTCTCTGGGGACTTCTGTGGGGACCTTTTTACGAATCACTGTGGTGAGTCCGACCCGCCTGGTCAGTGGTTGCACACCGACCTATGAACCAGAAGGTCCCGGTTCCATTCCTGGTCAGGACACAGGCCTGGGTTTCAGGTTGATCCCCAGTAGGGGGCGTGCAGGAGGCAGCCGACCAGTGATTCTCATCGTTGATGTTTCTCTCTCTCCCTCTCCCTCTCCCTCTCCCTTCCTCTCTGAAATGAAAAACATATATATATGTTTTAAAAAATGTCTCCTGGAAGAGAATAATTTAAAAAAATAAGTAAATAAAAAATAAAAATGTGGTAAAATAACTTGATCATGCTAACCATTTGTGAGTGTACCGTTCGGAGGCAGGAACTCCATCCACAATGCGGTCTGCTCATCCCCACTCCCACTTCCAGAACTTTCCACCCCTCCAAGCAGAACCTCTGCCCATTAAACGGTACGTCCCCATGTCCCCTCCCGCCGTCCCTGGCCACTTCTACTCCACTTGCTGTCTCTCTGGCTTTGTCTCTTCTAGATCTTTCCTCTGAGGGGAATGAGTCAGCATTTGTCCTTTGTGTCTGGCTTCCCGCAGTCAGCATGCTGTTTTCGAGGGCCGTCCACGTCGTGTGTGTCGGAATGCCATTCCTCTCGTGTTCCACGGCACGGAGACCCCGCACCCCATTTATCCGCTCTCTGATGAGGGACGCTGGCTGTTTCCACATCTTGGCCGTTGCGTGCGTGACCTTTGCATCTCCAGTCCACACTGGCCACTGGCCACCGTCAGGCTCAGGACGGCGTGTGGCTGGCGAATCCTCGTGGGGGGAGTCAGGGCAGAACCGGAGGCGCCGAAGCCTCTCATTAGCGGAGGGGGTGGCTTTGGACCCCCCAGGAATAGCATAACATGGAAACGATGGGGTGAGAAGGCCAGCCTTAAGCCCCCTGGAGCGGTGGAAGCACGCTCCCAGGGCGTGTGACGTCGCCCCCTCCGCTCCCATCACGCCGGGCGCACTGCTCTCCCCGCCAGCCCTTTGGAGAAGCGTGGCTGCCCGCATCCCAGCCTACAGGGCGCCCCGGCGCAGGTGAAAGCTGCATGTGGCTAAAGCCCCGGGAACCGGGCCGGGAGGAGGTGGCCCCAACGTCCTGGCGACAGACACTCTAGAGCAGATGAAAGATTCCAGAGGAGCTGAGGCCTGGGGAGCAGCCGTCAGGGGCCCGGGCGGCCGGCCTGGCAGCCCTGCCCGTCCAGACCTGAAACATTAGCTGCAAATGAAACGGGGAAACTTGACCTCGCCCTCGTTCCCTCGCTCGCTCCCCTTTCGGTGGAGTTCTGTGCGGGCTTGGGTCGTAAATCTCGGGGAGCCTCATATTTCCCTGGAATCGCTCACTATTTGGTGTACGCATTTCCATGGTGCTCCGCGGGCAGGAAGGAGCCGGCGAGGTGGGCAGGCGGGGACTGCGGAGGCCAGAGCCTCCGGGGCCCTGGGGCCGCTGTGAGGGCCACCTAGAGCGCCAGGCCCTCGGAGCCCGCGCTGTGGCAGCCGCATGGAGCCGTCTGGCTCCCCCGAAAGCAGGCCAGGCCCCTCTCCCCGCTCCGGGGCGGGGCAGGGGTGAAAGAAGCTTCCCAGACCCTTCGGACGAGAAGTTTCAGAATGGCCCCAAACGTGTAAATGAATCAGAAACACATGTATTACGTTTCTCATCAAAGTCCACGCAGCTTTGAAACACTAAAGGGGGGGGGGGGCAGGGTTTGGCGGCGCGCCCGCCCCGTTTTTCCAGCCCTCTGGTGTCGGAAGACCTGTCAGAGGGGTCTGCCAAGCCCCAAACATCGCTCATTCCCCGTCCTCAGCAAAAGCACCGGCTACAGTTTCAAAGTAAAGCCCACAAACCCCGCGACCCGAAGGCCAGGTTATGCTGAGGTCAGCTGGGTCTGGGATTCTGTGGGGTGGGGGGATCCCCCTGGGGACTTGGGGCGGCTGGGCTTCTGGCCGAGCCCTCTTGGGGGCCCGGGTCTGAGTGTCAGAGCTGCCATCTCCCACCTCGTGGGCCATTCTGCTGACCCCCAGCTCCGGGCCAGCCCCTCTGTCCCCTGGCTGACCGCCTGGCCGCAGACGGAGGGCCAGTGATGGGAAGAATTCTCCAGTGCGTGTCGGCCCCTCATGAGCAGCTCCGATCAGATCAGGGAGATTAGAGCTCCCTGGCACTCAGCAGGGGACCCCAGTCTCCTGAGGGGAGAGGGAGTCTTCCTCCCGGTCAGCGCTTGTCCTTCCTCCTTCCTCCCCCTCCCCGGGGGCATGGCCCCCACACCCTAACAAGAGGGACACTGGCTTTCAAGGAAGCCCACGTCCAAGGCCCCCGCCCTGGCCCCGTCTCTCCGCACACCTCCTCCGTGCAGCCCTGTGTCTGCCGGAGGCGCAGGGCTGTGTGGGCCCTGAGCCCCCCTCGGGGAGACTCTGCTTCCCTCAAGTAAAGAACTCACTAGGTCTCGGAGGTGGGGGACAGGAGGCGGGGGGGGGGGGCGGTGAATGGTCAAAGACAAACCAGGAGACACACAGGGAGAACCAGCGGAATCCTCCCGCGAGTCTAGAATAAAGGGCGTGGACAACGTGTTTTCTGTCCACTCGAGAAGGGACTTGGCATCTGAAGGAACGCCTCCTTCACGCCTGCTTCTGCCCACGTGGGCCGGGATCTCGGCCAGCCCCGACTCCTGTCCCCAGGGGCCTGGCCCCCACCGCCCCCACCGCCCCACCGCAGGGAAACAGCACTGGTCGGCCCTCCGCCCTCGCAGGAGGTGCCGCATCCTCCTCAGAGCTGCCCTCACCCCTGGCTGAGCTCCTGGGAGACCATGACTGTCCCACAGGCCTCGTCATCTCTCCACCTGAGTGGTCCCAGGTGCGTCAGCGATGAACTAGACTAATCTGGGTCCCCACCTCCTACCCCGAACCAGGTGCGTTTGTTCTTCTTCAATAAATGGTTAAAACGATCCATTTTATGTTCTGTGTCTTTTACCACAAAAGTGAAAAGAATCAGTAAATCCTCGCCCCAGGTGAACAGGAAACAGATAGCAAGAGACGTCCTTTCTCTGGGCAAGCTGACCACGCCCACGAAGGTCAGGCGACCCCTGAGCACTCCCCCTGCCAGCAGGGTCCCTTCCGGGAGGCGGAGGCCCGGCTCATCTGCTGGTGCAGCGGGCTTGTCCCTTTCCAAGTGCTCACACCTGCTCCCTAACGTCCCCTTTCCCAGCGGCCCTGTGGCAGCGGGTGGGGGGCCTGTTTTGTGTTTTCTTTATAGATAAGAAACCAGAACCCAAAGGGGCCTCACAGCCCGGGGACACCAAGGCCTCTAGCACAGACCTCCCTCCGGAGCAGGCTGGCCCCTCGGTCACCACAGCCCACAGCCCCTGGCCCTTCCTCGCTCGCTCTCCCTGCTCACTCTCGCCAGGTCTCAGGGGAGAGGCAGGGACAGTGGGAGAGAGTTTCAGACAGGGCTCCGGCCTAGCTGAGGTCAGCGTCCCCCCAGGCAAGGCCGCCCGTCCACTCCCGCCTCTGCCCTGCGGTGGCCTCATGGCTCACGGGGCTTCGTGCAGCCCGGGTGGGAGGGCCCCCCACACCCACTGCCCGTGCGGACCTGCTGGTTTCCAGGTCCTCCCGCCGGAGGGCGACACAGGCAGAACCCTGCCCTGCGGGCCTTGGAGAAGGAAGTCTCCAGGCCCGGCCCGGGGATGACGATGAGGGCGGATGACGATGATGGGAATGAGGTCTGATTGTCCGGAGCTGAGGGAGCTGCTGCACCTACGTGCTGAGGCGGCTGTTAGGTCTTTCCCCTCCTGCCTCAGTTTCTCTAAATCCCTTCCTGACTGACAGTCTGAGCCTGGCTCGTTCCCTGTCCCATCCTGGCTTAAGGGTGTCACCTTCAGGGGCCAGCCCCTAAGGACCTTGGGACCCCCCGCGGCTGCCACTCACCTGGAGTCCAGGAAGATGAGCTTCAGGTCGAGGCTGGCCCGGAACATGAACATGTTGCTGTGCAGCTTGACCTCAGTGACGGCGCTGGGCGGCAGCGACTGGCCCACGGCCACCAGCCCCACGACCTGGTAGCAGGACTCGTACAGGGACATGTCCAGCATGTACTGCCTGATCTTCAAGTAGCCGCTGCAGTGGATGACCTGGGGGAGAGGGCGGGTCAGCCTCGCGGCCCAGGGCCATGGACGCCCGCCTCCCGGCCCGGCCGCTGCCCCGTCTCTCCAGCCCGCAGCCTGTCCCCCAGCCTGGCCTCTGGGAGGAACGGAACAATATCAGAGTAACACACAGGGGCCTCTCCCCTCGCTGACTGTGGAAGCCACGGCTCTCTAGAGGGGTGAGCGGCAGGACAGGGCCCTCGGGGGTGAGCCTGGGTTCCGTAACCTTCACGCCAGCAGCTGGAAAGCTTATGTTCTGATGGGACCGGATTCGACACGCTAACCTGACATTGATATCACTTGACAAGCTACGTCACTCAGGAAACTCAGAATCCTTCCAGTAGAATGGGGGGAAGAGCTTCATGGAAAATATGCTTTATTTATAATTCAAGATTTTTTCCCCTTGTAATAAGCAAAAGCCGGAGGGACTATAGAGAAACGCGTGTAATAGCTGTAGCCAAACACCACACAGGAGAACGTGTGCGTGTCCGAGGGTCACGCAGCACCGCTCACGCAGCCTTGGGCCTCGACACTGGATTCGTTTATGCGAGCTCCATCAGTAACATCCCGTAAGGGCAGGGATAAGCCGTTCCAAAATCTCCCTCCAGGATCCCGAATGTATTCCCGTCCTTACAGCTGGAGCGAATCTTTAAATCCTTCTAGTCTATTCTCCCATTTCACTGATGAGGAAACTGAGGGCAAGGTAGGCGGTGTGTTTTGCTTAAGATTAGACGGTTAATAAGTGGCAGAAACAAGCCAAGACCCAGTGTCCAGAAGAATGCCTGTGGGTGCAGGACCGTGCTGGGGGTTCCCCACGCCTGGGCCAAAGAGGCTTCGAGTCCAGGACAGCAACTAAGAAACGTACCCTCCAAACTACAAAACAGAGTGAGGTCAAGTCAACGCCAAGGGCTCCGAGTGCGGCTCCCAGGAGGGGCCGAGGGGAGGGCGCAGGGGGAGGCAGACCTGGGGTGGGAGCACTGCACGGCTCCTCAGGGGACCTGCTCCCGGATCCCGAGGTCAGCTGGAGGTGGGCACGTCAGGCAGAGAAAGGGGCCAGGGCAGGGCTGGAGATGGGGCAGGGGTGGGGCAGGGGGGGAGCTGGGCTCGAAGGCCAGCTCTGCCGCTGACCTGCCTGCCTCCGGCTTGTGTCCTTGATGTAGAAGGGGGCCGACCACACTCCCTCCAAGGGCTGCTACGCGGTTAGATTACCCGCTAGAGCAGTGGTTCTCAACCTTCTGGCCCTTTCAATACAGCTCCTCATGTGGTGGCCCAACCATAAAACTATTTTCGTGGCTATTTCATAACTGTCATGTTGCTACTGTTATGAATCGCCATGTAAATATCTGATATGCAGGATGGTCTTAGGCGACCCCTGTGAAAGGGTCGTTCGACCGCCAAAGGGGTGGCGACCCACAGGTTGAGAACCGCTGCTCTAGACTCGCTAACGGTTACAGGAGGAGACGCTGTGGGCCAAGCTCTGCTCTGCACTCCGAGTGGCTGCCCTGTCGCTGTCTGCGCAGCACCGTCCTCACCGAGAACCTTCTGAGGACAAGGACGTTTCTGGGCTCTGAATGCCCTGCGGCCTGGGACCCGGCCGGGACCACGCGGGTTCCGTTAGCCGCTCAGGCAGACCGACCGTGTGCAGAGCAACCTCAGGTGCCAGGGTGAGTCCGCCGCGCGCCCTCCTGGCCCCCGGGACGAACGGTGTCGGAGACGCCAGCTCTCACCCTGCCCTCGAGCAGCGTCACTGCTGTGTGCAGGCCGGGTCCCGTGCCCTCCTGTCTGCACGTGCTCTCGGTGTGAAGCAAAATACAAAACATTCCAGACCCAGGCCCCTCCTCACCTCCCACGGGCTCCTCGTACCTTGTATCCGCTGCACGTCAGGCCCGCGTTCCTCTTTGCCAGGACGCACTTCATGCGAAGGAAGAAGGACCGCTCTATCTCGTACTCTGAAAGCAGGAGCCAGGTCAGATGGCCAGCTGTCCCCCCGCTCCCCACCGTCACCCCAACAATGTCCATCACCCGCAGGACCCAGCCAGGGGCCTCGTCCCAACAGCCCAGATGCCAGCCCGGAGAGCCTTGCCTGAGGCCAGACCTGGGTGGGGTGGGGGCTGGGGAGGCTGGGAACTGGGCAGTGGGGATTGGGGGCTGGGGTCCCGGGTGGGGTGGGGTCCCGGGTGGGGTGGGGGCTGGGTGGGGACCAGGTCAGGTGGGGACTGGGTGGGGTACAGAGCCGATCCCATCCGGCCTGGCTTCCATGTGTCCCGGAAGAAGGCGGCTGGAAACACAGCCACAGCAAGAACTTGGGACAGGCCAGCCTGGGGACACGTGAGGACCGTCCAGGCAGGGGCCCGCGTGGCACCACAGAGGCCTGGTGCCCGGAGAGTTGACCTGCCCTGGGGCGGGCACCTGGGCCTGTGAGGAGGCCTTTGACCCCCTGGGGCAGCAGATACCGAGTGCAGCCCTTTCCCGAGTGCAGCGAGGGAGCCAGCCCCTGGGGCCTCCCGCCAGCTGTGCCCCTGGGCTGAGATTGCCCGCAACGTGGAATGGGGGACAGGACCCAGCAAACATGCTGGGCCAGGTTGAAGCTTTCGCCCTCACCCACGGCCCTGGACAGACCTCCCTCCTGTCACTGTCCCCGCTGGGCCACCACCTGCCTTCCGTTCTCCCACAGGCCTCAGCCCAACCTCTGCCCTCGCTACCGCAAACCAGGCCCACCCGGGACGCCCTCTGCTTAGTGAGGGACCAGCATCCGGGCACCAATGCCCACGTGCCCTGCCCATGGGGGGAGTAACCAGCTCTCCGGGCACTCATGCCCACGTGCCCTGCCCCTGGGGGAGGGGCCAGCATCCGGGCACCCATGCCCACGTGCCCTGCCCATGGGGGGAGTAACCAGCTCTCCGGGCACCCATGCCCACGTGCCCTGCCCCGGGGGAGGGACCAGCATCCGGGCACCCATGCCCACATGCCCTTCCCTGGGGGAGGGGAGGTCACTCTAAATACACAGCCCCCGGGGTGGTTAATAAATTACTTTTTAAAGAAAGGTTACCCCTGGGAATGGGCGTGTAGCTTCCACCCCCACCCCCGAGGGCATGCCTGGTGCCGGTAAGGGGTTCGCCGGAGAGGCACCCCCAGGTGGAGAGGCTTCCACTTTACCCACAATCCTCTGCACCTGTGGGTCAGGGGTCTGAAGGGCATAGCTTCCCTTTAACATGGCGCCCGTCTGCCCCATTGGTGGGGAGAGCCCTTTCTCACCCAATCACCATAAACACGGGCCAGGTCCCACCCAGGAAAGCAAGTCTGCGGGGGGCCCAGGGGTGACAGTGAGCACGGTGAGCCCCATCCCTCACTGTGAGCCCCAATCCCGCACTGTGAGCCCCCATCCCTCACTGTGAGCCCCAATCCTTCACTGTGAGCCCCAATCCCTCACTGTGAGCCCCAATCCCGCACTGTGAGCCCCAGTCCCTCACTGTGAGCCCCAATCCCTCACTGTGAGCCCCAATCCCTCACTGTGAGCCCCAGTCCCGCACTGTGAGCCCCAGTCCCTCACTGTGAGCCCCAGTCCCTCACTGTGATCCCCAATCCCTCACTGTGAGCCCCAGTCCCTCACTGTGAGCCCCAGTCCCTCACTGTGATCCCCAATCCTTCACTGTGAGCCCCAGTCCCTCACTGTGAGCCCCAATCCCTCACTGTGAGCCCCAATCCCGCACTGTGAGCCCCAATCCCTCACTGTGATCCCCAATCCCTCACTGTGAGCCCCAATCCTGCACTGTGAGCCACAATCCCTCACTGTGAGCCCCAGCCCCTCACTGTGAGCCCCAGTCCCTCACTGTGAGCCCCAGCCCCACACTGTGAGCCCCAGTCCCGCACTGTGAGCCCCAGTCCTGCACTGTGAGCCCCAGTCCCTCACTGTGAGCCCCAATCCCTCACTGTGAGCCCCAATCCTGCACTGTGAGCCACAATCCCTCACTGTGAGCCCCAATCCTGCACTGTGAGCCACAATCCCTCACTGTGAGCCCCAGCCCCTCACTGTGAGCCCCAGCCCCACACTGTGAGCCCCAGTCCCGCACTGTGAGCCCCAGTCCCGCACTGTGAGCCCCAGCCCCTCACTGTGAGCCCCAGTCCCGCACTGTGAGCCCCAGTCCCGCACTGTGAGCCCCAGTCCCGCACTGTGAGCCCCAATCCCTCACTGTGAGCCCCAGTCCCGCACTGTGAGCCCCAGCCCCTCACTGTGAGCCCCAGTCCCTCACTGTGAGCCCCAGTCCCGCACTGTGAGCCCCAGTCCCTCACTGTGAGCCCCAACCCCTCACTGTGAGCCCCAATCCCGCACTGTGAGCCCCAATCCCGCACACTCTGCTGTCACCAGGAGCCGGCAGCCCCCTCTGGGCCTGTGCTTCTCCGCAGGTCCCTGCCTCGGCAGTGCCCTCAGGAGCCGGGGAGGGGACCGGCATGTCCCCAAGGTTTGCTCACTGTCATTTTCTGCCCCGTTTTAACGAGCGGGGCTGGGAGGGGGGGAGGAAGGAGCCAGGGCGCTGGACAAGGCCCGCTCCCTCGCAGCGGCCCTGGATCGTTGGGAACAATGACAACCTGAGGCTCCGACGACTCCCTGGGGGTCCCTGTCTTCCCGTGAGAGTCAGTGTCCAGCGCCACAACCTCCTGGCCCTCACTCTGTCAGAGGTGACTCCTTCGACTCGGCGCCCCCCCCCACAGGGGTCTCGGCCACGCTGGCCGCCACAGTCCCGGGCAGACCGGAGACGGGTTGGTCTCATCGGAGGTCGGGGAGTCACCAGGCCGGGCCTGGGACAGGCTCCGTGTCTTCCAAGCACACACGGCAGCTGTCATTGAAGGGCCACCTTCGGGACCTCTCCCTTCCCCACGGAGCAGCCTCGCCCTGTCCGTGCTGACACAGGCCGACCGCAGCGGGGACCCCACCAGTCGGGTGACATGACGGGGGGCTCAGGAGGAGGGCCGCGTCCCCGATGGGGCCGGGCCAGTGGGATGGACCTGCCTCCGTCTAGACCGGGGCTTCTGACCTGATCTGTGTCGTGACAAACCTACAAATCCCCACGCAGAATGCCGCCTCTGAGCGCATGAACGACACAGACGAGAATCCAAATGGGTGGTTACCATCGAACCACAAACAGTTGTCCCGGCGTTAAGACAAGGGGGATGCGCGTGTCACCGTGCTGCTTTCTCAGCACAGCAGGACCCAGGCCCGGTCGGGGGCCTCGGGACGCCTGGCAGTTCCAGGAGCGAAGGGAGGGGACGGGGCCTCCTGTCTACAATCCATACGCAAAGGAGACGCTGGTTGCAACAAGAGGAATACACATAATCTCCCCACTCGATCTCGCAAGCTCACGTTCTAACCTCGGCCCCTGGCTAAGGAGCCCGGCCCAGGCCTGTGTGGCCAGAATTCGCAGCCCAGAGCCCGTTAGGGAGTAGCCCTGGGCCACCCGCTTCACCCCCACCGGCACCCATCACAGCCACCAGCACCTGGCGGGGGCACAGACGTGCTGCTTGATGGACAGAGGCGCGAAGGCCAACCCCGCCTGGTGGGAGCGCGGGCTGGCTGAGGCCCTGGCTGGGCAGCGCGGGGAGCGAGACCCTCGGGTCGCACCCGAGAGCACCGCCGGGCTTTCCTGCTGGTTTCTGTCCGGCGGGAGGGACGTACCTTGGAGCAGGTGATGGTGAAGGGGCTGGTGGGCCGCCAGCACGGCCGTCATCTCGTCGTGGTCGGACGGATGGATGTACTCATAGATGCTGTTGCCGGTGAGCTCCACCTGCCGCAGAGGGAGGGGGTCAGGAGTCCTCCCGGGACTGCGGGGAGGGGGACGTCGTGCAGACCACAGGGACAGGACTCCGGACTCCGCGGACCGCCCACCCTCCTCCCGGCGCGGACACACCTGCCTTTTCCAAACCTTCTCCCACACTCTCCCCAAGGACAGAGAGGTCTGAGCTAAAAACAGAGTCCTGAGCAGGAGGAACTGGAAAGTGAAGGATGAAAAAGGTGAGCCATGGCCCAGCCGGCGTGGCTTAGCGGTTGAGCACTGACCTATGAACCAGGAGGTCAGGGTTCAATTCCCGGTCAGGGCACATGCCCGGGCTGCTGGCTCGATCCCCAGTTTGGGGTGCACAGGAGGCAGCCGATCCATGATTCTCTCTCATCACTGATGTTTCTATCTCTCTCCCTCTCCCTGCCTCTCTGAAATCAATAAAGATGGTTTTTGCCCTAACCGGTTTGGCTCAGTGGATAGAGCGTCGGCCTGCGGACTCAAGGGTCCCAGGTTCGATTCCGGTCAAGGGCATGTACCTTGGTTGCGGGCACATCCCCTGTGCAGGGTGTGCAGGAGGCAGCTGATCGATGCTTCTCTCTCATCGATGTTTCTAACTCTCTATCCCTCTCCCTTCCTCTCTGTAAAAAATCAATAAAATATTTTTTAAAAAATGGTTTTTAAATTAAATAAAAAGAAAAGGTGTGTCAGAGGTGCGGACCCTAATGGTCTGGGCAGCATCCTCCCTACAGGAGACAACTCAAAGCAGCTGAGCCCACACCTGCTGCCTGAGGAGACGGTCAGCCATGGACCACAGCGAGGTCCCGGGAGCCTCGGCCCCTCGGAGGTGAGAGGCAGGAGCCGACCCGCCCTGAGGCCGCCCTTCTCCTGTAGCTCTGCTCCCGGGGCACCGCCGGGGAGACGGCCTCGGGCCTCCCCAGCCCACGATGACTGTGCTGACCCCGGTTCCCACCCACGGGTGCGGCTGGGGCCCACCCCACGGAGCTATGTGACCCTGGGTTCAGACACCGCCCAACCCTGACACACCCCACAGAGGACAGACACCTGGAGGCGCGGCCACGGTGGGCAGCACCTGCTTTGCAGGGCCAGGGGGCCAGGACACCACCATCACGGTGACCTTTACACAGGGGTCCCAGCGATTCGCTTCCGACCCCGAGAAGTTTCTATATTCCCCAAACACGAGTGCCACCATCGGGAATGACAGGCTCCCGACCAGGCCCCCTCACCCCTCTCCCCTCCTGGCACGGGCACTGGCGGACAACCTTCTAGAAACTGCCGCCGCCGGCCGTCGGAGCAGCCTCCTGAGCAGCCGTGTGGGTCCTACTCTGGAGGTGAGGACGGAGAGCCAGCGCACCCGGGATGGGTCAGGGGGCCCGGCGCAGGGATGGCCCTTCCTCCACAGCCAGCGGAGCCCCCAAAGCCCAGTGGGAGAAGAAACTCAAAGTGGGCGGGCACTGCCCGAGAGTGGCAGGGCCCCTGGGGTGGGCATGCAGAACTCCGAGCCCTGCTCGGGGCGGAGGGCCAGCTGAGCGAGGGCAGGTTTGCCAGCGCTGGTCCCCCCCCCCCCCCCCCCGGTATTTCTGTTGAGTGTGTTGTTGGAGCCTCCTTGCCCTCAGCAGAGCAGAGAGGACCCGGCCTCGTGATGGGGCAGCCCGGATGGTGCCACCTCACGCAGCAGGACAACCGGCCAAAGGCTTAATGGGGAGCGTCCCCACCTTTCCAAACCAGCAAGGCCACCAGCTCTTCCCCGGGGACCACGGGGAGGTGAAGGCATTCACCCCTCTCCTCTGAGCCAGGGCTTCTAATTTGTTCCAAAGCGTGAGATGCCCTTTCAGTCAGAGCAAATTATGTTCCTGGCCCGGGAAGTGACCTGGTCCCTGGCCCGGCGTTGTTCACAGTTCTAGTCTCTGTGTTATTCATAGAACTAGAGGCCCGGTGCACGAATTCGTGCATGGGTGGGGTCCACCAGGCGGGCAGCAGGGAGGGGCACGGGCAATTGGCCGCCCCGTCCCCTGGTCGAACTCCCAGTTGAACTCCCAGTCGAGGGGACAATTTGCATATTAGTTTTTTATTATATAGGATGTCTCCTTCCAATGTTGTACAAACAGCCTTGGAGAGAATCCTGTAAGAAGGCCGCCCGCCCCCCCCCCCCCCCCCCGCCTGGCTCTTTCCTAGCGACCCAGTGGATGTTCGCCTCCATCCAAAGTTAGTACATGAGGCCCTGGCTGGTTTGGCTCAGTGGATAGAGCGTCGGCCTGAGGACTGAAGGGTCCCAGGTTCCATTCCGGCCAAGGGCACATGCCCGGGTTGTGGGCTCGATCCCCAGTAGGGGGCATGCAGGAGGCAGACAATCAATGATTCTCTCTCATCATTGATGTTTCTATCTCTCTCTCCCTCTCCCTTCCTCTCTGAAATCAACAAAAAAGAAATATATTTCAAAGTTAGTACATGAGGCCATTAAAAAATAAGTAGCAAAAACGGCACATTCTTCAAGTCACTCCTGCTCATCCTTACATTTAAATAACCCGGAACATGTAAGCCAGTCACTTGGGACGGGACGATCTTTTTTTCTGGGGCAGCGGGAGACGCCGGGTGGGCTGCCAGGTATAAGGGAGTATTGATTCCCAATTTCCATGGCTTATTTTAAAAATAAAAATAATTAAAACAAAACAGAATTTCTTTCTTAACCCTCACCCGAGGATATTTTCCCATTGATTTTTAGAGAGAGTGGAAGAGAGAGGGAAAGACAGAGAGAAATACCGGATGTGAGAGAAGCACATCGATTGTTTGCCTCCGGCTCGACCGACCAGGGCCCGGCTGGGGAGGAGCCTGCAACCGAGGTACATGCCCTTGACTGGAATCAGAACCAAAACCCCGATCCGGAACCCCTCAGTCGGCAGGCTGACGCTCTATCCACTGAGCACACCGGCTAGGGCCCAAATAGACTATTTTTGTGTTGGCCTATCATTTCTCCCCTACCTTTGTTTTTTTTTGGGGGGGGGATGAGGGGGATCATTCTGGTTTGCTCCAAGGTCTTACTTAGAAAAAGGGAACCTGTCTGGCTAGAGAAACAGCTTCGTGTACTTGCACAGGCCCTGCCCCTGGGCCTGTGGGGCTGTCGTTAGCGGCTTGGGCCCAGAGCAGCCTCTCTGGCCCCATCCTCCGTCCTCGCCCTCTGCGCCTGGAGCAGGAGCAGGGCCAAGGCCCGCGGACCAGACGCTTGGTTTCCCGAACATTCGGGTCAGTTCTGAAACCCGGAGGCTGTCGGGGAAGTAAAGCAGGCTCTGACACGGAAACGCTTTTCGGGAACACGTCTGCGATGACAAAGCAACGCTGACCTGGCTGGAATCACAGCCGGCTGCGTTTCCTGTGTTTACATATCTCCGCGCGCCTCGGAGCGCTGGAAGCAAGAGAAATCACGGCCGTCGCCATAAAACCCCAGGTCTCATCCATCAGCCGCGTTAACACAGACCCTCCGTGTGCCGCTCCAGCACGGGCAGACCCCGGAACTGCAAAACGGACTGCTTTCCTACCAAGCGCTTTTTTAATACTTTGCTGAATAGCTTTTCTTCCTGCCAAGAAAACGGCCCGGGATAAACTGCCCGAACGGGGACACCCTGGGTCAGAGGGGGGGCGGCACCCCGCTCTCCAGACCCGCACGGTCCTGGTTTGTTGGTGCTTTGCTGACTACGGTAAATGAAGCATTTTAAAATAAGGTGGTTTGAGTTTCAGGGTTCAAGTTATGTCAACAAACATAAAACGCTGCCCTTTCTCTTCATTTCAGAAGTGAAGGGACGAGGCCTGCGGGCCCCGAACAGCAGCGGCTGTTTTTACGGCTGCGCTGCCGCTGCGATCGCATCCGCGTTTCCCTCGGGGTCTCGGGCCGCGACACTCATTTGAAAATGCCCGTGCGCTTCCTACCTGCCTACAGGGTGTGCGACTCCGTAAGGAAAGTTACACCACGTGGACGCTCACAACTGCTGGAGGCAGCACACAGCAGGTACCCGGAGCTTCCTTCCTTCTTCAAATATAAGTGAATGACAGTAACCAAAAACCATGGAATTAAACCACTTAATCAACTTGCGTGAATACCAAGTGCTCCCCGAATGCGGCCTCTGCCAAGGAGATGCGTCGGCCTCTGTGAATCGTTGTGTGTGAGACGTGTCCCCACCAAACAGAAGGCCCGGCCAGCAGCTCATTCTGTCTCCCAGCACCTGGGCTGCGGGCCGAGGCGAGACCTTGCATTTTGCGGTTGTCTCTGTCATTTTTCTTTTTTTTAAATGAAAATTTGACAGTAAGGATCGCGGTGTTCACTCATTTAAAAGTAAAAACAAACTTAAGAACTCTCCATATAAAGTCAATTTCTTATTCCAAACTTTTTAAAAAGTTTAATAAAAGGCTTTGAATTGAGAAGGGCTTGTAACACAATCATTTTCACACCCTCAAACCGATAACACTGGTAGTTATTTAGGTAGTTCAGGTGGAAAAAAACTACCACTTTGCTATGAATTACCACAGTAAGGCAACCCAAGGAAGGGGCTTCTGTTCCCCAGACGCTGCTAGCATGGCGTTTCACCCTGAAACGGGAAAGGTGGCACACGTAATGAAACCAGGTCACGGAGAGTCATGGCAAGTTCCGGAACACAGAAGGGCACTGTGTAAACATAAGCTGGAAATGATAGCTGTTCCGATCGCTATTCATCAGGAAACCTATGTGAAGGTCACTCTTCGACGACTGGGTAACATTTTCTTAACATTTTTCTCTCTGGTGATTTGAAAAAATTCAGTAAGCCTATGTTAATAGAGTTTTTGTGGCTGATACATTTGCCTGACTTTTTCCTAACACAATAATCCAAAAGCAAAAAAAAAAAAAATTATTTTAAAGAGAAGTTGGGTATTTGACATCCTCTCCGATACTTTATTTTATTATTTAAGTGAAGAAGACAGAAAAAAATACACACTGTGACTCTGCCTAGACTGCCTGCTGCCCAGCTAATTGTGGGCAGGAGGCGGGCTCGAGGGGCGGTGTTTGCTGTTCTTATTTAACGGCTCACAGAACATTCCCCGGCGCGGGGCTCACTTCTGCGCCCGAGTGTTTTTGTAACTGAAGACCGATACCGAGACGGTCCTGCCAAAGCCATCGGGGAAAAAAAAAAGAAAAAAAAATCAGTTGTCCTGCACAGTTTGATACATCCTTTTCTGTGATTGGCACTTCCGGAAACATCTAGGCCAAAGGCATCTCTGAGTCTCTCTTGGGAAATGGCAGTGTATAACATGTTCCCTCCCCCTTCAAAATCACAGCACAAAATCGTATGTCTGCATTACGACCAGAAGTAAATGTAATTTCAATTGTGATTCTGCTCAGCTGTCCCCTGTGGAGGTAAGAGTGGACAGAGGCATATCTGTCATTTGTCCAATATTTGGGTCATTTTAACTAAAGAGAAAAATGACTGAGGGAGGGGTGTGGGGTTCGAGAGAGAGCAGCCACGGAATGAGCTGGAATGTGCCGGTCTGTGCACAGTGCCTCGCGATGCGCAGGACATTCCTGTGACTAAGAGCCCTGGGTGTGCCCACCAAAGGGTGGATGCCATCTGCGGCAACCGCTGTGCTATTTGAAGTGCAACACTAATGAAATGGTGATGAGGCCTGGCTTTGTGTAGCTCTCTATAGTTTGTACATCACATAAAACAGGCACTTTGATTTGTTTCGTACCACAATCCTGAAAGAGAGGAATTATTTTTCTTAAGTTATCACTCCAGAGGTTAAATAGCTGCCCTATCAGACAACAAAAACCACATAACTGAATGCATTTCCCTTTTTGCTTTGGCTGCTAGGAAGCTCAGATTTAAACTTACTATTCCATAACAGTAACTCCACCTAATCTAAAATATGTTTGACCGGTCATTTTTAAAGTATGTGACATGTTTTGTCTTGTCTGTGATATTATAAGACTAATCAAAGGTTTTATAAATCATGACTGGAAAAATTAAGTCAAGCCAAGAGTAGAAACCAGCTGGGCACAAGTAAAGGGTCTTAAATAATTTATAAATAGTGCCAGGTCGAAATTCAGAGAATAAAAACTTTGCAAAATAGAAAAAAAAATAGTAAATTTCATGTCTCCAACAGTATTTTCCATTCTGCAAGGACGCTCACGACTCTCACGAGTCACACTGTAAGAGCCAAGCCCTGGCCCATCTTATCTGGGAGGCCTGATTTCATAAAGAAGAGAAAAGAAAACACCAAACAATTCTGATCCGAGATGACCCGCTTTAAAGAACTCTGCATGAAAAACACACAGGCACAGGGGACGGGACAGGCACCCACAGGAAGAGAAGGCTGTAAACAAATGACAGGTTTTAAAAAAATGTAAAGGCAGCAAAAGAAAAGGGACACCCCAGATGCGACTTCCAAGCTGGTGATTTCGTTTCTCAGTGAGAAACCCCGAGCCCCATTAGTTGGCACGTTTTATTTTGGCTCAACTACACAAGGGGCTGGTGCAACACAAACCATTCACGGGCCTCCTGGGAGCCCGTTTCCGGCATCTGATCAATTCCAGTGTGATGGAAAAGCGCGCTCCGATAATTCCCAACGTAAAGAAACATTTAGTCCCCGTGTGTTAAAAAAGAAAAAATGTGGCTTTTAGAACCCTGCTCCACACCTGCTAACTCAGAAACGCGAGTGGCACGAGTGGCAACCATCCGTTCGCGTCCCCCCATCCGGACCCACCCGCCACCCCACCGGCCCAGGCTGCGGCCAAATTCCCCTGGGAGCCCCCGCTGGACCCGGATAAGGAAAGCGAGTGCTGTTCTTCCCTCTGGGGGATGAGCCCCTTTTTAAAAAATGGTTCCAGAAAAATCAGTAATATTTAAACGTTCTAAGGAAACCAGGACCTTGCTGTGCAAAACAGTAGTAAACTGCGTTTTATGAGTTTCTGTCACAAGCATATAAAATGCTTTACTGAAACGACCGCTGAACTGGAAAAACTCAGGAAAAATTACCCTGAATTCCATGTGAACACTCATAAATCTCCCCCCCCCCCCCGCTCTCTCCCCACAGCACATGCTGCATGAAATCCACGTCCTCCACCAGCTTTCCACTCGCTCTCTCAGCAAGGACACTCCCGGTGCAGGCCACCGAACACGGGCTAGACGCTCTGCCTCCGTGGAGCCCCTGCTAGCGACAGAGAGCCCCGGGGGACTCGGGACAAGGCTGGCTGTCGCCAGGACGGGCTGGTCATTAACCCCACAGGAAAAAGGGAAAGGGCACACGGGGAAGGAAAGCCCCGCGGGACGGCCTGAGAAGAGGGTTTGGCGATTTGGGGTCCCGCTCCTTCACCAAAGCAGGTGCTTGAACACATGGTCACGCTGGGTCGTCCACCAGCACACGCTTCGCACTGAGGCTGCACATGAAAGCAGGCACCACCTACCTGGGACAGGCCCAGATGGACGGAGGCTGTTTCCGATATGTACATGATTTTGCCATCGGATGCCACCACAAAAACAAAGCCGTCCAAGGTCTGCAAGAGAAAAGGGTCCGGTCAGAGATGATAGGTCCACGTTAGGGTCAGACCTCCTCACTGTCCTCTCGGGATGGAGGAGGCTTGTATAGAATGTTATCACCAACGCGTATTTGTCAGGCGCAGAAAACAGAGCGCAGCCCCGGAAGGGCTGTAAGTTACACCGCTCCAAGTGCAGTCCCCGCGCCAGGCTTTCAAACGCCTTTCAAGCGCTGTAAAAACAGTCTTACACGCACATCGCAAAAATCGGGCAAAACCTTGGGAGAATTCCTGTCATACCCAGTTTAAATGTAGTAGCTTTATTGTTTGGGGTTATTTTAGCACTTAGCACAAATCCGGAGTTCTATGGTACTTAGGGGACAATAGACCACTATATAGACCATTTTATGTCATAATTGGCAGTGTTTATACCGCGAGGACATATGCTTTATTTGCCACGATTTTCTAGTTACCGCTAAGTACCATTTGAATAATAAATTCCAAACACTACCACTCCCCAGAAAAGAAAATACCGGGTTATTTGAACAGACTATGTTTACAGAATTAATTATCTCAAATAACCTTTGCAAAATTCAAGTGGAAGAAGTATCAATTTCTGAAAAAATTAAAACTACCTACGTGGTATTCTGATTTTGCCAGCATTGGATGGCCCTCAAAAAAATAAAGTAAAATTATATGAGGTAATGAAGACAAATAAAAAGGTACTGAACATATTTATGTGTGGCAAGGACAAAAAAACAACAACACCTCTAAGTTGTTTTTGAAAAAGGAAACTGCATTTTATTTACCCATTCATATTTTAGATCCAGGACCAAAGAAAAGCAATAAAATTGGTGAAAGATCCATACAACCCACAATGCTGCCCCCATAAAAAATATTCCAAATTAATTTCTGGCCACAAATTCTATTTTTACAGCATGTAATTGAAACCAGATTACCTTTGGCTTTTTTTCCTAAATCCGCGCCCCCCCCCTCCTTTGGAGGGGGACCTAAAAAGAATGTAGCAGAAACGAAACTTGGAAGATGCCCTGACATTCTCCTCTCTCAAGCAGAGTTTTTGTTGCAAAAATTCTTTGCCAACTGAACTCTCATTCCCTTTCCCTCCGCTGAGGTGGAAAGCAACATCCTGATTAGAAGCGTGACTTCCCCGTTTCTAACTCGGCTACAACATTTGCTTCCCCCCCAGTTAAACGCCGCGTTTCACAAATATCAACGACAGGGCACTTTCTAAAGCTGTCCGCGTTTTGGCACATTTTGCATTCTTGCCTGACTCCGAAATCCTTAAAGAGAGACGTGAACGAAACCGTCTCGGACAGGGAGCCATATGAGTGAAAGAAAAATTATCATAATCAAATTCTGCAGGTTGCCAGCAGTAGCTAAAAATAATACCCTGATGGAGAAGCTGGGTGCGCTTTCATGGCCTCAGATTCGCCTGCGTGCGTGCAAGCGGCCAGGGCGCCCCTCCGCGCTCCCCGCGGAATTAACTACAGGAACGGGCGGCCGGGGCCGGAGTCTGTTGACTCTGCCGCCAGGCGCTCGCCGGGGCTCCCAGGCACTTAGCTGTCCCCATATTAGTGTCACTTATAATTCGCAGGAGCATGGGACATGGAAAATGCCGCGGGCCGGGCCGGCCGGAGGGGCCTGGCGGCGGGCGGCGCGGACGGGCTCCAGGAGCACCATTACCCGCGGCCGCCACCCTGCGCCTGTCCTCAAAGCTTCAGGTTTCAAACATCCCGGACCCGCGCTGCCCGGCGCACGCATTTTCAAAACATCAACCACACTCGGACATTAGGGCAAACGAGTTTTGAAAAGATCTGCTTTTTCCCAACGCGGAGCTCCTGGCTGACTCCGACCCGCGTCCCCGCGTCCCGCCGCCAACTTTTTTTCTCTTTTAAAGAAAACACAAAATAGCAGGAGGAAATGCAAAGTGGCTCTCGGCAGGCACTTCTCGGTGGCAGAGACGGATGGCGGGTGGCGGGTGGCGGAGGGGAATGAATGGGTCGTTGAGGAGGCTTTGGAAAGGGCGTTTGAAAGGCTGAAACCCAGCCCCAGCCGCCGACTCGGAATTGGCCCTGGAATTGGCCGGCCGTGCGCCCGCCCCGGCGGGGGAAACCCCAGGTCCGGGGCAGCTAAGAGCTGAGGACTGAACTGGGGGCGCTAAGTGGTTGGCCACAAACCAACAAGGGCTCCTTCCCTCCGTGAGCCAGGCGCCTCCGGGGGCCGCAGCACCTCCTCAGCCCACGGCTCAAGCGCTGGACCATTTGGATTGACCTCGCACCCCCACTTGCTGTGTGACCTCGGGCGTATTTCTTAACCTCTCTGTGCCTCAACGGCCTCCTCTTAAAAAAAAATGGAGTTCAGAATAGAGCGCATTCTAGGTGGGTGGGGAGGCCAGACGATGCAGTAAGATTTAGAAAAGAATCTGGCCCGTAACAAACTCTCAGTAAATCCCAGCTGTTAATCTTCTATCAGCGATGGGTCTCTCCTTTACGCAACCCTTCCAAACACACACAACTCTGGTTCAGAGCGCCCTGACCTGCTCCGCTGGCCCCAGCGCCTGGCACAGCCTCAGGCACAGAGCAAGGCTCCCTAACAATGTTGGGGGGCGGGAGAGTTAAGGTTGGAAAGGATTTAATCACGCCCAGGGGCGCCCTAAGGCCTAGACAGTCCCCGGGGCTGATGGACAGTGTGGGACTGGGCCGGGGTGGCTCTGGTTGAGCTGAGTCCACAAGGTCCTGCCGGCCTGGGTGCGGGTGCGAGCGCTGGCCGGTGAGGAACCACTGGCTCCGAGGTCCGGGCACCGCCTCTCGCCTGGGGCTGCCTCTGCCTCTGCAGCTGGTGGCCGCCTGTGGGTCCCCTCCTGCTCTTAAGGGAGGGAAGAAACCTCCACACGGGGGTTGGGGTCACAGGGCAGCACCACCCAGGCCCGGCCAGCGCGGCTGGCAGCCATGACCCCTCCCCCAGGCACGCCCCTACCTGCAGCAAGTGCGACCCCAGCTCCTTGGCGACGCTGTCCAGGGGCCCCGCGCGGCTCGGCTGTCCCCACGCGTCTCCTAGACCTGGGCGGGGGGGATAGAGCAAATCAGTAACCAGCAGGGCCTGCCCGAGCCCCAAACCCGTCACTCCCGGCCCCGGCCGCCCCCACGGCCTCAATGAAAGCGCAAAAGGCCGGGGCGGGTTCCCTCCAAGGCCGGTTCCCAGCCCTCCCGCCCCGCAGCTCGCCTGGCCCGCCGCTCCCGTGGGCCGCCCACGTGCTCGCGGCTCTGAAGTTGCCTGTTATTATGGGAAATGCCACAAAGCAACCTAATCTGCTTGGTCCAACGAGGCCGTCCTCGCCGCCGTCGGACACCGACTTGACCCGTGAGGATGGCCCTGGGCCCTTCCCCACTCCCTCCCCGCGGCCCGCGACTGCACTTTCCCAAAGAGGAGGCGCCCGAAAGCCCGCGCCCCAGGAGGCAGCTTCTCCTGTTTAAAATGAAATAAAATAAAAACCTTTTTCCACCTCAGTAACCTCTGGGGGTCCCGGGAGCACCGTCCTGTCCAGTCCCAGCTGCGGAGGGAAGGTTACCTGGGGCTCCTGGGGGGGGGGCAGCTCCAAACGCGCCAGACACTGTGACGGGGCCGATGGCGGCGAGAGCCCCTCGACGCTAACGGGGAGGTGTCTGCTGTCACATATTGGGGGTCCCCCAGCTCCTCCATTTCCTATCAGCCCCACCCAGACCTCCGCTCCCCCATCACCTCCAGGAGGCCCAGAGGAGAGACCGCCCTCCACAGACACTCCCGGCGCCCGCGGCCCAGGCTGTGACCAGGCCCCAGGCTCCCTCTGTGCCTCTGGGTGAGGCTGGCACCTGGGGGAACAGACCTTCGGTCCCCAAGTCCTTCCGCGGGGGCGGACGGCCGATCCAGGTAGCGCTGCGGCCTATGCGCCCCACGCGAGGTGGTGGAGGCCACGGCCGCTGTCCGCCTGCGGCCCCTTCCCTTCCAGGGAAAACGCGCCCCAGCTGCGGGTGGACACGTGGGGTGGCTGTGGGTCCCGCTGCCGCTTCCACCTTCCCCGGCGGTGACCTCCGGGCCAGAGCGGCCCCCTGCCCGCTGCGCGTCCCTCTTGGGGACCAGAGCCCGAACCTGGCGCAGCCACAGAGAATCTGCGGGTCCCGCGGTCCCAAAGCCCGAGGACGGTGGCCAGTGATGGACAGGGAGTCTGGGGCAGGCGCTTGGGTCTCCCCCTGGCCCCAAGGGAACCGGGGTGGAACCGCACCCCCGCAGGAGGGAGCCGCGGCCTGGGCCCCACAGCGGCTTTGGGGACCTTTCCCCACGAACTTTGGCAAAAAAATGAAAAAACACCACCTTTTATTTTTCCTCCCGGGCTCTAGGAATTAGAGGCTTACCCGGGTCCCCCCAGAAGGAGCTCATCTCCAAACATCCCACCCCCGTGTGACTGCCTTCAGCCTCCCCAGTGGCAGCGCTGGCCCTGCCCCTCCCAGGGGTGACCGCAGGCCCTCGGCCCCAATGCCTGTCCATGGGCAGTGGCAGCACATCCTCCACACCCGAAAGGACACAATTTACCCCCACCCCACCCCCAGGCTTGAATGAAGAATTTCATAAAGACCTAGGAATTCAGCTATCCGAAAACGGACAGATGCGCCCTGGTAACTGTCCTTTCCCGCCCTTCCAGGCTCGGTGGTCCCCTGGCCTTGGCTTCTGGAAGGATCCCTGCCCAGTGACCTGGGAAGGTCTACACCCTTGGGAATGGCCCCTACACCAGACCCCCCCTAACAGCCTTGTGGGAGGCTCTGGCCTCACCTGGGAACCTGCCCTGGGTGACTGGGTGCCCTGGACAATTTCTGAGGAATTCAGATGACCTGCCACTTGCAGAGCCTGCCCCTCCCCTCACTCTCATCCCCCAGTGCTGGCCAGGGAGATGTGGTCAGAACGCTCCTTCCAGCCCTGGTGGTGGGAGTGGAGGCGGGGTGGGGGCGAGAAGTTTCCCTCACATCCCGCCCCGTGTCACCCCACCCAGGATCCCCTGTGCACCCCACCCCACCCGGGGTGAGGGCTGCCAGCTCTTCCATTAGAAACCACAGTGGGCAAGGCCTTTTTACTCGGCCTATAAAAACCTACTTTGGGCAGAAGGCAAGATTAATAAAGTAAGGTTTGTAACCAGTATGTACCCCAAAAGTGAGGTGCTGTGTGTGTGTGTGTGTGTGTGCGCGCGCGCGCGCGCCCTTATCTGGACATAACAAAGGGCTTTGAAAGAAAAATGGGGGATGAGGGCTGAGCTCTTCTGAGAGTGTCAGCCTGTGGCCAAGGGTGTCAGCCTGTGGCCGGCTGTCCTGCCCAAACCTGGGAGCCTCCCGCTCAGTGAGGGCAGCAGCCCAGCCAGAGTCCTAAGCCCACCTGTGGCTTCCCAGCCACCAGGGTCTGGGTCCCTCTGGCCTACAGCAGGGAAACTGTGGGGGGAGGGGGAGGACTCACCGTCGCGGGAATCCCACCAGGTCAGCGGGGAGGGGGAAAGGGTCCAGGCATCCCCTGCCTTCTGCCTTCCAGGGTTTGTGGGCGCCCACGCCTTGCACTCAGCTGGGCTCGCTGCTCAGTGTAAACCCCCGCCCCCCACTGCCATGGAAGCTTTCTAAGGTCCCTCCTTCCGACGCTCAGCCAGCCAGCAACCAGCTCTTAGCACCCACTCGGCCTCCAGGGCCACACAAATAAGACGTTTTCCCAGGGGACACCAGGGCTTCACCGCCCCCCCCTCCCGCCTCCTCCCTCCTTTACAGATGCCAGCTGGGCCGGCCTGGATGGGCTAGTCCCCTGGCCAGCAGCCTTTATGTCTCACCTGTGAAGTGGGGGTGTTGGGGGAGGGAATGAGCTAAACTCACAGGTGCCAAGCAGAGAGCCAGTCCAGCTGCGGCTGCCACCCCGATGGTCTGGCCTCCTCTCCCTCTCCCACCCCTTCCCTGACTCCAGCCTTTGCCTCTGCCTCCCCTCCCCCCAGAACTACCCCCTCTCCCAGAAAGGAGATGTGACACGGGGGAGCTTGGCCTCCCCATGACTGGGGGCCATCTGAAGACACAAGTTCTCACTCTCCACTTGCAAACACTCCAAAGTCAAGAAGGGGGGATGTAAGGACCGGCTGCTGCTGGGCCCGCTTCTCCACTGCCATCCGTCCCCTCCCCAAGCCGGGGAGCCAGCATCTACTGCCTGTCACTCCCACCCATGAGCCCCCCCCCCAACACACACACACACACACACACACACACACACACACACACACACAGAGGCAGGGCTCGAGCAACCCCCCCCCCTCCACCCCGAACAGCAGGCTGGGGAGACTGTGTGAAGAGCGTGGGCCTCTGGCCTTGCTGCTCGCTCTTCGCCCTTCTCCTGCCTTGGATGCTGCATCTCCCTGGGCTCCCTGCAAATCCCAGCCTTGCTCCAAACCGTCAGTCACACCACTGCAGGGGCCAGGTGTGTGTGTATGGGGGGGGGGTAGGTAGGGGTGCCCCAAAAAGGCTATGCAAGCACCCGGGGTAGGGGAGGGAAGGGGGCTTCCAGCTCTCCCTGCCGTGCTGGCCTGTGTTGTCAGTGGTCAGAAAACAGATGCAAGATCCCCGCCCCCCCCCCATGCTCAGAACTAAGGGTGGGATGGAGCATCCGCCACAACACAGCGCGACAGGGTCAGGCCTCCGTGTGCACCCAGAGTCCCCGGGACTGAATAAGCTGCACTGAGCTCCAGTCCGCCTCCAAGTGCCAGCCCGCCCCGAGCACACCTTCCGCTCAGACCTCCCCCCACCAGGCCGGAGTGTCTGCTCTGAGTCGGAGCTTGGAGCTTCCCCTCTGGGACCCAGGCACACGGCCTGGCCTGGCAGGCTCCCAAGTAGAGATGGGAGAGGGTACAAAAGCCCGAATTCTAAAAACTAAGTCTATTTTTTAAAAAACTACATTATTTCAGGTTGCGTATAGAAAGGCTCTAGCTCTGTAACCCACGTCTGTTCAGGGGTGTCTGTTCTCACCAAATCCTCTGAATCAAAATGTTTAGATTCCGGATGACAATTTCTAAGACGGCCCCCTCCTCCCTGGCGCTGGAATGGGGGTGGGGGGGCTGGAATGGGGGACTGCCTAAATCTAAACACACACAGACCCCACACCGGAGTAACCAGGCCTCCAAACCCGCTTCTGTTGTGTGTGAATGAGGCTTTCGCTTCTTTAAGCAAAAGGCTGAGATAAAGCTTCCAGGTCCTCCCCATCTTGCACCCACACAGACTGGGTCCTCAGGCCTGGGGGTGGGGAGGTCAGCCTCAGTTCCCAACTCCATTCCTGACCCGGACCTCTGGCCAGTTCCTCCTGCGGGCACTGACCCTGACCGGGACTTGCATGGGCTTCCCCTCCCTCCCCCCTCCCCACCCAAGGAGCTCAAACCCCTGCTCCAGGGAAGGAGGGTTAGGCCAAGGGTTAGGCAGAGGAGTCCCTGCAGCTCCAATGCTGTGGGGCCTCCTGCAGCCACTGCCCAGCACCCGATGGTGGAGCTGGCCCTGGGCACGGCCGCTATGGACAGCAGCAGCGTGCGTCCACCCTGGGTGCTTCCGGCTCTCCTGGAGGAAAGGCCATACTGCAAGGAGGGCAGGCAGACCCTGGGCCCCAGTGCCTCCCTGAGCCCTGCGCCCCCGCCTCCCCAACCACCCATAACTCAAAGTTTTCATGAGTCCATTTCAAAAGCCAGCCTTGCTCTTCTGCCCTCTTCCCTACCCATCTGGCCCCCACTACTTAGTCTTAGGGGAGGAAATGTGTGGGTCCAGAAAATAGCGAGTCTTGCCACTGGGGGGTCCACTGAGTGAGGCACTCCGCCCCGTGGAAGTCGCCTGTGGCTGGGGACACGCAGGCAGTGAGCTCATAGGAAGCTGGGGTAAGAACTGGTCTGACTTCCACCCACCCAGCCAGGCTCCTCGCACGGATCTCAGGAATCCTGTGCAGTCCATTTCACAGACAAGGAGACCGAGGTCTAGTGGGGCAGCTTGACAGAGCGGAGCCATGAAAGGCCCAGCTCCTGCCGCCTCCCTCTGACCCCCTCTGGGCTCCCCAGTCCCTCTTCCTGCCCCTGGGACTCAGGATGGAAGGGAGAGCCAGGCACAGGCTTGCTCTTGCCCTCCCTGTGGGGCCTGGGGGAACCCTCCTATGAAAGGTTCCTCTGGAGAGTCCTGTGGTTCCTTCAGCTTCTGCTGCTCTGTTTCTGACTCCCGAAGTCCTCTTCCCAGGGCCCTGCCTGCTCTGGGGCTACGGAGCAGCGAGGCGTGCTTTGCAGGTTGGTTCTGCTGGGTGTCTATCCATGGAGGTCGAGAGCCCTGCAGATCCGGGAGCTTCGCACCACCCAGGAGGGCGGCTGTGGCCCTAAAACCCGCCGGATGCTTGCGCCCTGACCCCGTGGCTCTCTGCCGCCTCCCTCCAATCTGGAACCACATCCCCCCTGCAGGCCCTAACCCCAGAACAGGTTAAATCAATTACAAGCGCCTCTTCGCACCGCCCTTGGGAGCTACTGCGGGGGCAAGCCAGTCATTTTGCATAATTGAGCGCTTTCTAAACTCCCCTGGCACCTGCGTCACAACTCCTTGTCCCAAAACTGATTTGAGGGAAAACAGTGCGGCCCACCAGAGGTGCGGGCCAGAGGCCTCTGGGTGCAAAGACGAGTCCAGAGGCTGCTTGTCCACCCTCCAGGCCAGCGCCCCCCCTCTGGTGCTGCAGGAGAGTGGGGTCAGAACCACCCCCTCCCTATCCCCTGGGGATGGCTCCCCAGCAGGGTCAGGCCCTTTCCAGCACTCTAGGGCCAGCAGCTCCCTCCCGGATGCTCCTGGAATTCCAACCTCCCATCACCCCTGAGGCTCACAGCCAGGCCACTACTGAACCGCACAGGGGCTGGCAGCAGGCTCAGGGCCACGCAATTCTGGGCCCAGACACCTGGAGACTGGTTTCCAGGGCAGAACGCAGAGCCCCAGTTTAACTATCGGCAGCAGCAGGCAGCAGACCCGCAGCTTCCTAATTCTTAGCAGGTTTTCCTGGAAATTCCCCCGAACAGCCTACAGCTTCCAATCAGCCCTCCTCCTTCAGACTCCCCTTCTGCCTCATTTCTGGCTTATTTGAAATCTGTTGGCAACCAATCATGAAATAGATCTTCGGATTGTTTCTTTGTATATAATTCCCAGTGGGGGCAGAGGTGGGCGCCCTTGTCTGGGCCCACACCTCTCTGTAGCATTCGGATTTAAAAAAAAAAAAACAGCTCAAGGGGACACACCGGTTGACACCCTGCTTCCCGGGTGTGAAGGATCCGATCTGGCCAGTGTAAAACCTGATCCTTTTCGAATTTTCACGGAAACCTCAACTGCAGGGGGATCACCTTTGCTTCTGGGTGGAGGGGTCCCTGTTGGCGGACAAATAGCCGTCGGCCCAGCCGCTCCTCCCGCGATCAGGGTTGGAAAGGGAGAGGAGGCAGGCGGGCCTCGGGCTTCTGCTCCCCGGAGGAAAGCGCCCAGCGGCTGCAGGCCCAGCTGGGAGGCACCCGGAGGCCAGGCCACTGCTTCCGGCTCCCGGCTCCCGGCTCCCCAGCCACGGAGCAAGCTGGAGGCCGAGCTGAGAGCTGAGCTGGCCGCGGCCCTCACCGCTCCACCCGGAGGTGGTGTGCAGTGCAGCTCCAGGCCCCGAGGAGACTGTAGCAAGCTCAGCACCGGAGGTGAAAGTGCTGAGCTTACAGCTGGGCCGGCTGGGCCCATCTCTGGCCGGTGCGGCCTCAGTGGCCCAGGAGCTGGCTGCGGAGGACACCTGTCGCGCTCTGCAGAGACCCTCCGTGCCCTGCCGCTGAGGTTGGCTCCCTACTCACTCGGGGTTTCTGGGGCTCTGAGCCAACTCAGCCCCGTGGACGCTCGGATGGCGGCCGGAGGTCCTGGGCACCCATCACGCCAAGTGTGGGGTCTCTGGCGCTAGGCAGCCACAATCCCCCAGGGCACACAGCCGCTGCAGGGGCCTTGGTTCAGAACCACCCGGATGACCCAAAGCAAAGGTGCGGTGACCAGGCCTCCCAGTCCTGCGGTGCCCGCCGGCTGCCATGGTCACTGGGTCGCCCGCAGGCCAGTGCTGGCAGAGAACGCCGACCGAAACACGCCAGCATTTCCCACCGCCACAAGTCTGCGGACCCTGCATTCCGGAGACCCTTGCCCCATGGCACCTGCCCCTGTGGGTTTGTAATCCCAATCCGGAAACAAGACTGCTCGGCCCTGCCTGCCATTTCCCACTCATCGCCTGGCGCTCTCCCCCGCCTGCTCCGGGCTCAGCACTCGCCCTCTTCATACCCTGACCTCCGGAGGCCCAGCCCCAGGAAGGTGAGCAGAGAAGGGCATCAGAGAGGCCGAGTCCGAGGCCGGCCCCCCGGCGCTCTGCGAGCACGGGGCCTACAGGCCGGACATGGGCGCCTCCACTCCCGCAGGGCGCACACGCTCCCCTCTGCGGAAGGAGCGAGAGAAGTGAAAGAAGGAAAGAGTGAAAGGGCACGAGGTGAAGAAAGGGAAGGGGAGGAATGGAGGTCGGCAGGATGGAGCAGCGCGCTCACAGATCAGATCCCGTCCGCCCAGCCCTAGGCCAGGAGGTGGTTTGGTCTCGGGGCTCCAAGGCCCTGGCCCTTGTCCTGAGCAGGAGCCGGAGCCCCCGGCCCGGCCTCCCCAAGACTTCCTGGGACGGCGGCGGGGAGGACGGAGCGGCCCCTCCGGACCAGCTGGGGCCGAGGCCGCGGGGCGCCCCAGCTCTCCCCCCGCGCCACGCCGCGGCCTCACCTTCGGGGAAGACGGCGCGCATCTTCAGGTAGCTGGTGGTGAGCCGGATGATGGACGCCTTGTCCAGCTGCGAGGTGATGGCCGACGGCAGCGGGAGCAGCTTGGCCAGCTCATAGAACTCGCCATTCTCCTTCTCCCTCCTGGTCTTGGCCGCATTCTTGGACTTCTCCTTCATCGCGCCTCGGCTCCGGGCATATTAGCCCCGGCCGTGCCCAGGCCGCGCGGTCCCGCTCCGGCTGCCGCGGCGGCGACCGGAAGGTCCAGGTGGGTCCGGGGCGCCGGCCGCGGGCAGGTGCCAGGTGCCAGGTGCGCGGGGCCGGCCCGGGGCGCCCGCTCCTCCCGCCCGGCCGGGCGCAGCCTCCGCGGGCTGGGCTGTGCGGCGGAGCCGGGCCCTGACTGCGCGCGGCCGCTCGCCCTTCCTTTCTCGCTGCGTCTCCCGCGCGTCGCTTTCCGCGGGGGCGGACCGGGCGGCGAGGAGGCGGCGGTGCCGTCTAGTCCGTGACCGAGGACTCGTCCCCGCGGTGCCGGGGCCGCTCCGGGCGGGAGGGCGGCGAGGGCGGCGGCCGCGGAGCCATGGAGCGGAGGCGAGCGGAGGGGAGCGGGCGGCGGCGGGCCGGGCGCGCTCTCCCGCCCTCCCTGGCGGTCCCCGGGGCCTGGAGACGCGGCGCCCGGAGCCCTCGGTCTGTCGCGGGCGCAGCAGCTCCGAGGTGCACGTGCGGCCGAGCCGCGTTTGTTTATGGCGGACCCGCCTTCGGGCGGAGCGCGGGCCGCGGCCGCCGGGGAGGGGGGGCCTGGGGGAGGGACCCGGCGGGGGCGGGGGCGGGGGCGGCGAGCTCCCGGCGGACTCCCGCGCCCGGACTCGGGGCGCCTCCGAGCCGCTGCCTCCGGGGACTCGCCCGGGAGACCCGCGCGCCCGGCCCGGTCCGGTGAGTGCCCTCGGCGCGCCGCGGGACGGCGGGTGGGTGGCAGGACCGGGCGCTCGGACGGGCGGCGGGAGGGGGCGAAGGAGGGGGAGGGCGGGGGTGCGGAGACCTCCGTGGCACCCGGGCATGGGGGGGGGCGGGGGCGACCCTCGGGCCAGGTGTCCAGCCGGGAAGACGGCGCCTCGGAGCGGCGCCGGCCGCGCTCTTGCCCTTCACCCCTCCCAGGTCCCAGCCTCACGGGGAACGGCCGGGAGAGGACACCCGCCGCCACCGCCTCAGGGAGGGCCTGGGAGTGACCCTTCGCCCTTTCCCTCCGCCAAACGCGGGGCCGCAGGAGACGCCGCCTTCCCCGGAGCGGGCGCGGGGCGCGGGCGGCAGGAGGGCTGCGCCGGAGCCGAGCTTGGTGGCCGGGCCTCGCCCAGGGCGGCAGCGACAGGGCCACAGCCCCGGCTCCCGTGCCGGGCCCAGAGCGGCCGGGATTTGGGGGAATCTGCCGGGATTTGGGGGAATCTGCCGGGATTTGGGGGAATCGTCGGGCGCTTCAGGTCCCGCAGGGGGGACAGGGATGCGCAGCGGAGACGCGGCCACAGGTCCCCGCACTCTCCCCGCAGCTGCCTGGGGCCGCCACAGTCCCCCGGCCCTCTCCCCCGGCCCCTCCATCCCCAGTGCCTGCACCGCGGGCGGGACCCTCCAGACTTCCGGGTGCACCCCCCCCCCTTCCCGGGTCTGCGCCCTCCCGGGACCGTGCGCTGGGAGGACCGCAGCTTCCCGGGCGCAGGGCAGGGGCAGCCTCAGTGGCCGCGGGGCGGGGCGGGGGTACGGGGCTCCCTTGGGTGTAGCGCTGGGGGACTGGGGCGCCTGCTCGGGAGGTGGGTGCTTGGAGGGGAGCCGCCGTGGCTGCCCGTCGGCGCTAAGATGTCCGTTCTTGGTACCACCCGCCGTCCGCCCGGGAGGGACCTGGTGCTGAGCGAAGAGGGGAAGAGGGCTCGACAGTGCGATGTGGGTGCTGGCCTCCCTCCCCGCGCCTTTCCGTGAAGGGCGCTCCCGGCCTTTCCCAAGGACCCTTTGAAGGTCAGAAGTTCTTTTGCGGTGGGATGCCTCGAAGCCTGGACCCCAGCTGGGGGGGGGGGGGCTGGCCCCGCACCCTGTAGTCTTGGTCTCCGCTCCCGGGGCTGGTGCTCTGGAACCTGGAAGCCCGGGAGCAGCGGAGGTGGTGGCTCCCCACCCAGTGCCGGGCGCGGAGGAGCGGGCCGTTCCCCTGGAGTTTGGGACCCCGTTTCCAGCAGAGGATGGGGGCCCACTCCCCGCTGGGCTCTCCCCCCTGGAGCAGCACCCCCGAGTGCGCGCCTGCACCACAGGCCTCGGAGAATGGAGTGCACCCTAGGCCGCCCCCCCCCCCCCCGATTTCCCGTCCTCAGGGCCCCGGAGAATCCCTCCCGGCTTGGGGGTTACCCCCTGGCAGGAGCATGGCTAAGTGGACGCGGGAGAAACGCAGCAGCAGCAGCAGCAGAAAGGAACTGTGCTCCCCTGGCCGGCGGGCTCAGTTGGACGGAGTGTCCTCCGCGCGCCGAACCGTTTCTCAGCCCGAATTTCCCGGGTTTATGGGGAAGCACCCTGAGATCTCAGTCTGCGTGGGCCAGACAGGCCCGAGTCACGTGGTCTGAGAGGTAGCCTGGGGGGTTTGGAGATTCGCAGACACATCCTGTAGGACACTTTCAGACCCAATGCCTGCCCAGCAGACGCCCAAGTGGGCATTGTAACCCCCAGCCAACACATTGACTCCAAACACTGCACTCCCGGAAGACCCCAAGCTCAAGGTTTCCCGGTGGGAAGGATGGGGCTGTCTGGGTGGGATCGTGAAGGATGAGCCCCCACCCTGCCTGACTGGGGCTGGGTCCCTCAGAGCAGGACCCGCAGGACGCAGGTCCACAGGCTAGAAGCGCTGTGTAAACTGGGAAAAGCACGAAGCGCAGGCCACGTGGAGTGACCAGCATGGCAGGCCGCCTGCGTGTCCCCAGACCCTGGGCTCTTAGTGGGGGTGCACCTTCCTCCTGGGCTTTGCTTTGGGCCTGAAACCGGGCACCTCACCCAAGGCAAGGAGACCAGCCTTTGGAGACTCCGTGGAGAGGCTTAGAGACAAAACGAATGACCCCCAAAGTCCCGGACTTTACCCAGGACGGAGTTCCCTTTGGCCAGGCAGGAGCCTGCAGACTCGGGAATGATGGGAGGTTGCGGGCAGGAAGCGGATCAGACACACTGAGGGCCCCAGCCTCCAGCACCGCCTGCTGTGGCGCCCTCACTCCCAGCAGGGCCTGCTGAGCCAGTGTGGGAGCACCCAGGGGCTGGGAGCGGGCCCTCAGAGACCAGCCCTCCACCCCCGCCTCTTAAAAGTTTTTCCATTAGGAAACTGATCTGGAAGAAATTGAGGCACCGAGAGGAAACGGGTGGGCTCAGCCCAGCCCCACATCTGCTTGGATTTTCCGCTTCAGATGCTCCCCAACTGTTCTTCCCCAAGCTGTGCCCACCTGAGGCCCATCACCCCAGGAAACTGGCTTCCCATCCGGGAAGCCACAGATGGTCCGCGGGGATGGGCTCCGGGAGAGGCTGCCACCACTGGGTCTGAGACTTGGTCCCTAAGGAGGTGGGGGTATGGGAGGACTTCTGTGATTCCTAGCATGAGATTTGCGGGGGGGGGGGGGGGGGGGGTGTTGGAACCTCAGAGGGGGTGCTGAAAGGGAACTCCAGCCACTGGAGTCAGCGGAGGCACTGAAGCTGGAACCTACTGGATGCATAAGCCCTGGTCTACACAGATGTGGTCGCTCCCCAAATCCTGGCGCCCAGTGCCACGTCTGTGACTGTCATGGCTGGGAGCCTCTTTCAGCCTGGCCTCCCAGCAAGAGTGCCTCAGTTTCCCCTTTCTGCCCTTGTGCCAGCCCCAGGGAGCTATCCCCGACTTTTCCTGGGGTCGCCGTTGCTCCCAGCAAAGATCAGACTGGACGATGTTAGGACTCCTTGGGAACAGCAATGACAGGCATCCTGAGCAATTCCTGAGGATCCATTCCTCAGGTCAGGACAGGAACCGGCTCTGCTCCCTCCCTCCCAAGTCCCAGAGGGAGAGAAGTTATCTTTTTTGTTTTGTTTTAAATAAATTCTTTCACTGAAAGTCACTCCATTGGACAGTGTTTGCTTCTTAGGTTGGTCAGCGTCTCTGATGATGTGGTTACGTGGCAGGAACTAGAGTAGATCCACCTTCTTGCACTAGGCCCCGTGGGGCTGTGGGCTGGGGGACAGGACAGGCAAGGGAAGGAGGTACCCCAGGGCACTGGCTTGAGGCTGATTCTGCTCTGGGGTGCCAAGCAGAGCAGTGTCCTCCTCTAAGACCGACTGTCCAGTCCACTTCGGGTTCTGGGATTGGGAGCTCCAGGGCACTTCCTTACCCCCCCCCCCCCCAAGGCGAGGCATTGGGGAAACACAGTTAGGGCCACAGGGACTGTGGGGAGCCACAGAAGCCAGACCTGGTGTGGGTAAAAGGTGGCCACAAGTTTCTTTTCATTTTACTGGAGTTGAGGGTGTGTAGCCTTTTTAAAAATTTTTAAAATAAATTGTATTGATATTTAGAGAGAGGAGAGAGAGAAGCATCTATGTGAGGGAGAAACATCGATTGGTTGCTTGTTACACTGGCCAGGACTCTTAAAATTTTTTATTGATTTTTTTTTGAGCGACAGAGATTTGTTGTTTCATTTATTTATGCAGGCATCGGTGGATTCTTGTATGTGCCCTGACTGGGGATCGAACCCTTAACCTTGGCGTATGGGCAGAGGGTGCAGCCCTTTTCTCCCCCGCTGCCAGCCTGGCCTGGCTTTCCCATCCAACTCCGAGAAAGTGGGGGGGGGGAGTGTATCCGCCCGCCCCTCCCAAAGCACAGCGCGCTCGTGTCCTCCGAGGAGCGAGGCGGCGCCTGTGCCTGAGATCAGCGCCCAAGGACCCCCAGGATGGGGCCTTGGGGGACCTAAGCGAGCCGCCTCGCCGGACCCCCACCCCCTTTCCACAATCCGACTGCACGGAGCTGGGAGGGTTCCCTCGGAGCTCTCCGTCCCGCTTAACAGAAATGTCGCTTCAAATCCCGGTTGGGGAGAGGCCGCCGTCCATTCCCTGCAAAGCCACGCTCTCCGCTCTCCGCCTCCAGCGGCCGAGCCGGGTGGCTCCGGACGCCCCGGAGCTGGAGGAGTCGGAACGGTCCGTGCGCCCACGTTCCGCGGTGGTTGTCACAGCCACCCGCCGCCCTGGACGCCGAAAACCAGCGCGTGCATTGACGCGGGTGCCCACGCTGCCTTTCAAACACCCGCCAGAAACCCCCTTTAGGAAACGAAACCTGCCCCGGGGACGCACTTTGGCGCCACAGACAGGGCGCACTTAGTCCCCTCCTCCCGCGGGCCGGGTCCTGGAACAGCCACCCCACAGGCTGCTGTGAACTCGGGGCTACGGCAGCGTTTTAAAGGCACACGCTCCGCCGGTTATTACAGGGGGGCGATTTGCAAAGCAAAGTGAGCGCTGGGGAGCCGTCCCCCTCGTCTAAACAACCCGCAGGAAGGGGCGCGCACTCGTGGGAGGTTAGCAGAGAGAGCTACGGAGAGGCCGGCGGGCGGCTGCTCCAGCGCAGGCGGCGTGCGCGCTCCAGCCCGGCCTGGGCATCCCGCTTGGCGCGGATTCCCTTTTTCCCTTTTCATTTAAAAGGCGGCGTGGAAGGCGGACTTCCCAAGAGCTGTTCTCGGGGAACACGCGCTCCCGCCCGC